CACACACACACACACACACACACACACACACACACACACACACACACACACACACACACACACACACACACACACACACACACACACACACACACACACACACACACACACACACACACACACACACGCACACACACACACACACACACGCACACATACACCCTGAGGCCACCGACTCCCGCATCGCGCGATTTTGAGGGTCCCTCCCGTTTGGCAGAATTTGCGGAAGCCGTTTCTAAGGAGCAAAGCCTCGTGCAGCAGCGCCGAAGTGCATGCTTTCAGCCTCCAAGCGACACTGGAAAGCGCGCAGACTCTAGGAACATGCGGGGGGCAGAAACGGGAAGGAGCAATTGAAAGAGGAGGAGAAAAGAGACAGCAGGAGGAATGCTGCACGAAGGAGAGGGCACCGAGAAGCGGTTCGAAACTTCCTCAAAACGACGCCTGGTGCTTTAAATGCAGCCTACCAAATACTCGAAGATCGCCCTCCTTCCAGAGGTGCACATCGCGCCAGTTCCTACCGCTCGTGAAGCCAGTCAAGAAGAAGGAGTCTTCAGTTTCTAAGCTCCCAGACGCAGGTCTAGGAGCAGCCTGAGTGTGTTGCAGCGCCTCAGGAGGAGGCTCTGGGGAAGAAGCAGGCAGCCTGTTGCGGATGCTGCTCGTTTGCGCTGCTTGGAACGCCTCGGGAGTTGGTGCTGGCATCTTTTCCTCGTGAAAGAGGCACCTGCAGACCTCTCTGTCTGCGTTCAGACAGGCCGCCTCTGGCTCTGAAAAGTCGTGGATTCGACAATCGGCGAAGGCTGAGAGAAACTCGATGCGGCTTAAGGAAGAGGCTCCTCGCGCAGAATGCGGCGTGCTTGGCTCCGACGCTTCCAAGACTTGCCCCTTCTGCTGCTTCCAAAGGCAGCAAAGCGGCAGACTGAACAGAGGCGGCACAGGTCGGAAAGCGTTCTGCTTCAACAGCGAAGTGTGGACGTCTCCGCCCTGCAGCTGCCACCAATAGAAGACTTCATCAAGACCAATGTTGTGATTTCTCAGCAAGAGTTCTCGCTTGTTTGCAGAACCACCCTCGCAAGAATACGGCAGCCAAGGAAGTTGCCAAGCGCGCATTGAGGTGTCTGTACACAGACGCGATAGAAACACATCTGCCTCCATCATTCCTCAGCAGTCCTCCAAGACACCCACACAGCGAAACTCCTCAAACCACGTCCTCCCTCCCTCACTCTCTCTTATCCTCCCTCCCTCTCATCTTTCCTTCCCTCGTTTTCCCTCCCTCTTCTTCTCTCCCTCCCTCTTTTTCCCTCCCTCTTCTTCTCTCCCTCCCTCTTTTTCCCTCCCTCTTCTTCTCTCCCTCCCTCTCATCCTTCCCGCCCTCCCTCTCATCTTTCCCTCTCTCCCTCTTTTTCCCTGACCCTTGCCTCCTTCCCCCCATTCCCCCTTCCCCCCGCCTCCCCCAACCTCCTCATTTCCATCGCTGCTCCACCCCGCGCTGTAGTTCCCCTAACTTTCTTAAGAGCTACATCTTAGCGAAGAGCCGTCTTGAATCACCTGCGCGCTCCTTCCGCTCGCCGCCAACGACCTGACGCAGCTCCTCCTCCACGTGCAAACTCGCGAGAACTCCTATGCATTCGGCACCCTTCAAGCACCAAAGCTGCCTCTCCCTCTGAGGGGTCTGAAGCCACTCAAGAGCCAACAAATCGCCGGGGCTTGCGCGGCAGGAAGGATGGATTTTCAGAGAGGCGCGTAGAAACTCGCGGATCTGCCGCAACAAAGTCGAACGCCGCCTTCGCAGCAGCTCTTGCTGCAAAGTCTCGGAATGATCTCCTTCGTCAGTATTTCCAACAGCGTCCTGCTGGGGAGGCTTTAAAATATTCGACTCCGAGGAGTCTGAGCAGCGTGAACGCTCTTCAGGCGCTGGCGCTCGCGCAGAGAGACAGCGAGGGGAAGCCTCGAGACTTTCCCCAGATAGCCATCGCATTAGTCCCTCCAGACAATGGAGGAGCAGCGCAGCTTCCGCAGCTTCAGCAGCTTCAGCATTAACAGCCCCTGTCATGTGGCCTCCTGATGTCGGAGCTTTTGCGAGCAGCAACGGAGGGGGTGACGCTGCCGCTGATACCGCTGATACAGCTGCAGCACATTGAGGCGTCAAGAGGCTCTGAGCTTTCGGATAGCCGTCGTCGTGCTGCTGCCTCTCAGACAGGGCTGCTGAAAGCTCCTTCGGGCAGTGTATGGACACCTCCGGGAGCGTAGCCTTTAGCGCCGAGCGAAACGCCCGCGGACTAATCATGTGGCAGGGCGCTCCAATCGCCTTCTGCATCATCTCGAGCAACAGCGGCTTGCGCTCCAGCAGCCACCCCTGCAATCCCGTGCCGAAGGCGCAGACAGAAGGTGCAGCAGCAGCTTTCAGCTGACTGCTGCTGTTGCTGCCCTCCTCCTCCTCCGAAGTGGCATCCGTCGCCTCCTCTGCAGCAGGAGGATTTAGAGGGAGAAGGCATTTAAAGTCGGCAGCTAAGGCGCAGTAGAGGACGAGCTGCGTAATATTCTTGAGGCCTTTTTCAGCGGGTTCCAGCGCGTCTGATGAAGCCTCCGCTGCCTCTCCACCTCCTGCTCTTGCCTCAGAGGCACTGCGAGAAGCAGAATGCAAACTAGAGACGCACGAGCAAGCGCCGTCTCGTGCATGCGAAGGCCTTTCTTGCTGCAGCATTCCCTTCCCGCGCAAGGGTTTCTTCAGAAGCCAGCGAGGCTGCAGGATCTGAAGAAGGATGATTCCAAGACTCCACACGTCTTGTTTCGCGCACGCTGCAGTGTGGCTCAAAACACCGGGTCCAGCTAGGATCTGCTCGGGGGAGAGGAAGGCGAAGGATGCAGGGAGAGCAGCCGATGGCGCCAAGCGCCCTCCATCCGTGAGGTAGGCAAGTCCCCATTCGCTCAGCTGTACGTTTCCATGCGCACTCAAGCGGATAGTTCGAGGCTCCAGACGATTGTGAGCGAGCCCTAAGGAATTCAAATAGGCCAGAGCTGTCACTGTCTGGGTAGCTACTGTTGCTAAGAATTCGAGTTTGTTCACGGACCACCCGATACAGCATGCAGCAGTAGCTGCAGCTGCTGCCTCTGCATTCGGCTCTGCCTCCTCCGAAGCCTCAGCCTCGTGATCGGAACGCCCGCCTGCTCCCTCTTCATTGTCGCCTTCCTTGGGCAGATCGCAAGAAGGAGCATTCCCAGGCAGTGGCGTGCTCTCTGCACTGCCTCCTGCATGCAGCTCGCCATCTCTTTCCCAGGCCCTCATGATATCCTCGAGGGACAGAGACCACTGCTCCGAGACGAGATACACCCGGCTCTGCTTCCTCAGAATGTGCGTATAGGCGCAGAGATGGGGATGCCGTATTTCCTTGAGCCGCTGGAAGCGCGAGATGATCTCGAGGTGGGGGGGGTCGCAACCGCTTTTATCATCTTCGGAAGGGCGGCTATGGCGAGGTTTTTGTCCTCCCTTAGCGGCGGAGTCTGCCTCGTCCTCGGCGCCATCGCAAGACGAACGCCTTCGCCGAACGCCTTCGCATTCGCTACTTATGGACCGCGATGAGGCAAACGAACGGGGAGAGGATAAGGGTGCCATGCCCCCTTCGCAGTACTGCCAGGCCGACTCTTGAGCGCCCGGTTCAGTGAGAACCAGTTCAAACAAACCATCCTTCGCGTTTCCTCCAGGAGCGGCATCCGCTGGCGCAGTGTTACCCCCACGCCGCTCATGACGGCTGTCTGCGGCTACTAGGAGGCTCTGCAAACCCAACTGAAACTCGGAAAGAAGCCCTACCGACATCGCTCATGTGAATTCTGGAGCATTTCGAACAAACTGTGACGTAGACGGCCGGTGCTCATGCGAAGGTGAGGCACACCAGTGATCGCCACAGTGACTCAAAGCGCACAGAAACGGGCATCACGACAGGGACCTGCCTCGAATGCCTTAAGACAGTAGAAGGGGATTGATTAAATTCCTGGATGCATTTCTATATTTAGAATCACGCGTTCCCTTGTCTCCACACCCTGTCGAACCCTTAACGCGTGCATGGCACAGTGCGCTTAGAGTCGGCCCTCCGCAGCCACGCAGCCAGCAGAGCAGCGGCTGCCCTTTGTGTTTACCGCTTCGCTTCTACTGGCACTTTGACAATTAGAGCTAACTCCTTTTACTCATGGGGTAGGAGGGTTACTGATTCTTCCTAGCGCTAATTTTTTGGGAACATGCCATCCCTTGTCATCCAGCGAGCAGCTGCAGGAGGAAGGGCACTTGCTTGCAAAACTCTTCACTATCCTCCGCCTTAGCTTCTAAGTGTCTTCTGCTTAACGCACAACCTCGGCTTACCAACATCGTTTCTGAAGTTGCGCGCGGCGCCATAAGGCAATTCTCTCTTAACTTCAGCGGACTTCAGGCTACGGAAGGAACCACGCGAATCGCTTGGGTTCTGCCCTACACGGTAAATGTCTCGAGTATTTTCCAGAGCTACTTAACTCAAATAAGCAAATTCGTGAAGCATTTGTAGAATGTGCAGATGATAAGCATCCCTAACAGTGCTAAAACTTCCCCGAGTAGCGCCTAGCAATTCCATGCAGCACGACGAAGTGCCCGAATGGAACACAACCCTAGGAGTTTCGCAACCCTCCTCCGAGTCTGCCTCTGCAGTCCTAAACTATTGCTCTCCAGAAGGCGACCATGTTTAGTTCACTATTTTACATGCTGCTTCCTGCGCGATGAAGCCTCCGCCGTAACAGCCGAAAGAGACTCGGCCATCTCAAGTTTCTCGGCCTGCAATACAAGGAATACAATTCGAAAAATGCAAATCCACAGTTTATCCGACTCGACCAACCACCGACTAAAAGGCAATAAAATTCCGCACTAACCACAACGGAAATGGGAGGATTATGGCCTTCTGCTGTTGTGAAGCAATCTCATTTCAAATGAGACGACACGCCGAGAAACTCACCTCCACTTTTCGCCTTCGTGCGAGTTCTCGCTTGCTTATGGAACTGTTTGTTCCTTCGATGAAAAAGAGGGCAGCATCAAGAGTGGGGTCCGCATCTGCTTGCTCATTACTGGAGAAGCTTTTGAGCGGCGGGGCAGCCGGTGGAGGACCCTCGCTCTCTCTTGATCCATTAGGTGAAGAAATACGCTTCTTCTTTCTGTGCTTTTGTTGCCGTTGCTTCTCATCAAACGCTGTAAAGAACGTAGGGCAACACAAACCAAACGTAGAAAACTAAATTACTTCTCAGGGCATGCAAACAAGCAGTTAGGCGTACACTACCTCTAAAGGCATGACCTATACACGACGCGCATTCGTATATAAGCTCAACAAAACAACACGACATGTTTCGTGTCGTCTTCAAAGTTACTCTATAGCTTCTAGGAGAGGTTTCAAAATGCAAAATTAAACACTTTAGAGTGCTGACCGTCAAGAAAAATCTGGTCGATGCTTGCAGCTGCCTCTGCGTCAGCTGGCCCATCCGCTGCAATTTCTGTTTCCTCCTCTCCGTGGTTTTTCCTCTTCTTTTTCTTAATCTTGTCACTCTTCCGCATGGCATTTGAATCGTGCTCTATGATAAGCTGCTTCGCGATGGGGTCCGCCTGAACACAACACTCGGTGCAAAATGCAGACCCCCAGTTGAATATCGAAAAGCCCAGAAAAGAGGCCGCTGGCTCCGCCCCTCTCCCTTCTCCAAAGAAACAGGATGGTCCTTGAAACAAGTAAAATGCGTCAATCAACCATATCTTTTAGCCTAATAGTGCACATAAGCTCACCATAAGGCCTTCTGGCAATGGCGTTTCTTCCTTCTCCTCTTCCTCGACGGCCGGTGTTGTGAGAATATCTTTGAAAAGGTCCTGAAACATTGAATACAAACTGCAGCGGGCGACCCTCGAATGCCAAGTTCAGCTATACAAACCTGTTGAAAAACATCTGCGGCATCTGAAAGAAAATGAGTATGCAAATTATAGAGTTCATGTTGCTTACACGGGTCTTGCTGCGTTTCTCTTGGCGGGTCTGCCACTCCTCTTTGCTCTTGGTGTACCGGTAGATCTCACACTTCATGTACGCAGCGTAATTCTGCGCTTTTAATTCCTCTTCGATTGTGAGCAGGGCCTCGACGATCTGCCGCTTGCTCTCCGGCTGAGGCAAGAACACCCACTACAAGGGCATTTGCAATGATGCCTTTACAGCTCAAGAAATGAGGCAGTGTCGTTTCAAGACCTCTGCCCTCCCAGGAGGCCAAAGAGTAACAGAGGGACAACTAAGCCTTCCGCCTCACAGTTGCGCCGTTGTAGATGGAAGTCAAAACGAATCCCCCGACAGGATCTAGTGCGAATAAGGGCACGAATGGCAGCAAACTCCTAATCATATACTGAACAGCTGAAGGCTGAATTCCGTCGTTTGCAGGGTCCGCAATCTCTTGGATCACGCGAGAAGCCAACTTGTTGGTCGCCATCAGCTCGAGAAGAGGACTGCAGCGGAGGGAGAACACAGAGAGAAGGTAAGCAAGCGGTGCCACCACTAAGCAACTACTTCAAAGCGTGTCAATGGAGCAAAGGCAGGCCAGCGCGCGTGCTCGTTTATGAAATTCAAGTGCCCTCTTCTCAAGCAGCCAAAGCAGCCATCGGAGTCCAAGCAGCTGACAGGTTTTACAAAAAGGAACGTCCCTGGACCTCGAGCCATCAGCACCACTGTAGCACCCGAAAAGTTCACTTAACTGCGCGTGGATGCATATTCTTGAAAACACACTCCCTCCTAAAAACACCGGCTAAAGTTTTGAATCGTCCTTGCGTCCGCTGTTCCCTCCTTACTGGATTTCAATAACAGGCGGGCTGCCTTTGACCTTTGACTTCCACTTTCTGACTGCGAGTTTGCACTCTCTGCACGACTTGATAAACTTCTTGAATCCAGCGCTCAAAGGCTGAATCGTTGCTGGAGGAAACTTCAGGAGGCTCGTCACAATGGAGCACCCCGACGGCGTGCAGATGTCTTGCAGCCTCAGCTGCGAAGGCTCGAGGGGGACACGCTCATGCTCAGATGTTGCTTCTTTGTTTATCTCCTCAGAATCGTTCTCCTTCTTGTCGCTTTCGGCGGGCTGGACTTCCTCCCCCTTCTCGTCGCCAGGAAGGAGCTCGCTAGGAAGGTCTTCTGGAGTGCACAGACCCAGCAAGCACCACCAGACATAGGGTGTGGCGCTTCCTCCCCTGACGCCAACAGCCTCAAACATCTTCCTCGCGAATTCCTTGTAAGACGACTGCAAGCGGCGGCACGCTTCCGCACACCGCCACAAAACAGCGGACGTCGAGGCAAACAAACAGTCGCCAAAGTTCAACGCTGCAGCGCACACCCCACCCGCTTCATCGTCTTAGGCTTTGCGCAACTGTAATTCCTTTGAGCGAAAATGGTCGCTGCATGGATGCTAGAGAGGCACTCACACAGTGGATGCACAAGCAGATCAGAGGGAGAGCCACACCGCAAAGATAGCTTGCATTGTGCTCAAGAACCGCCTCACCTTGTATTAATTGCTTTAAATGTGCGGCTTGGAAGACTGAAGACTGCAGAATCTTTTGCAGCACAAAGTTCCCAAAGCGACCTGCGTCCCCAAGCAAAATATCCGCACCAGAGCTCTTCCAGGAAAGCACCAGCGAACAAGACCCGCTGCCCGAGACAATATGCGGAAACAGAGGCAACTTGAGGGGAGAGTCAAACAGGAGAAATTCGCCTTTCAACACGAAACGGGATCCATTTTCCTTGATATGCAGCCGCACAAAACATGCATACATGCCTCCGCTGGCCTTGAACGCTTTGCTCACGCCGCCCCTCATTTTCCGCGCCTTCACTCCCTAACTCGGCACTCAGCTCACCCTGCGCCAATGTATTCGCCTTCTTCAAGATCCAGTGGGAAAACGCTATCTGGAAACGCTCAGGGCTCAGCAACGTGAGGCCCAGTTCCAGAATGCGGCTGCCTGTGGGACTGTCCACCAAGGCGTCTGAAGCACAGCAGCAAGCACACCGCAGCAGTGGCAGGGGCATGGATGCAAAGCGACGCGCAGGCAGCCACAGCGCGCCAGTACATCCATGAGAGATGTGGCTCAATACGAATGGGCTGCCGGCGAGATTCAGGAGGCCGAAGCAGAGTGCAGCAAACTAGGAGAGACCTGGCGCAAGCCTTAGGGAGGCGCACATGAGGTACGTACCTGCAATCTGGACGACAGCCTCAGCCGAAGAGGAGCTTGCCTGCATGCACACCACTCTGCGCGGCGCGTGGTGCGGCATAAAAGGAAGCCGCTGACACCTGCAGCGCGAGCTGCTGCGAGCTCCGCACTGAAAGTCCGCATTCCCTCTGTACTGCTGTTTGGACGACCGCAACACCTGGATCCTCGAAAGCCCAGAGCAGCGCTGTGCAGCTCACCTCTGAGGAGCAGAAAATTGAATCGAGAAGACGCTCAAGGGCCTCTGCGCATTGCATAACAAGCGCAAGGCCACCACCCCCACCCGAGAAGCACGCCCATGAGCGATCACCCGGGAGAGAGACGGCGCCTTTGCGTGTGGCTTCCTTTCTGGACCCATCGCTGCGGCCAGATCTCTGTCTCCCCCTCCTCCCCTCTCTCTCTCTCTGCAGCCTCCTCCTTTCGCTTGATGCATGGCACCGAACAACCCTTCCAAGCTCCCCAAACCACGCACACTTCCTCCCTCGTCTTGGAGTGTCTTACCTTCCTGCTGACGCGCCTGGAGTGCAAGCATCAAGACCTGCAGCCCTGGTGCGGCGTATGTGTCGAACGGGAGATTGAAAGGGTCCGTTTTGATGGTTTCCGTTGCCTCCGCAGCGAGTGCCAGCAGCGCCTTCGTCAGCGATTTGGGCACTTTGGCAAGGCGTGCGCTATCTGCAGCCTTAGGCCCCAAGACAGCAGAGAGCGCAGCGCTCACCTGGGGAGACAGCAGAGTCTCTGCAGAATCCTTGCGAGTCCGTCGCTTTGCGCGGCGGCCTGGTCAACAGCAAGCCAGGGCGAGAATGCAAACCGAATAATTCGCACATACCCCCACGCCATAACATGCAGGCACGCTTTATTTCCCTCCCCATGTGCAGAGAGAGCTGCAATACCCTCGAATGATACAACCAGCTCCCCCATACATTGAGACCCTGCCCAGCTGGGGTCCACCCCAGACCTGTGCACCCACGTGCAACAATTTCGCAAGGCACAGCACCACCCCACGCGCAAGGCTCACGATCCGCACCGCTCGGCCTGTGTGCTGTGGTGGATTAAAGACACTGCTTATGAAGGAAGGCACTGCCTTTCCCCTGCTCCCCGCACGCCCACCTACACAGCGGCAGTGCCCTCCCTCCGTTCTTGCGCCTACCTGCTGCCTCCGCGGGGAGCAGACAGTCGATGCCTGCCGCAGCGCGTATCGCCGAGCGAAAGATATGGGTTCCAATGGCGTTCTGCATCAAAGATCGCCAGCCACCACTCTCGGACCTGAACAGGTGGGGGCCAGACGGCATGATGCACACCCGCATGCAGCAGAGACGAGCCACACAACCCATGGCATCCCACAGCCAAGGAGAAAGAAAGCCCCCTAAGAAGCGTCCTATCCTTCGCAGACACTCTTGCCTCTCTACGCTTCCTCCCTTGCTTTTCTACGCTTCCTCCCTCGCCTTTCTACGTTTCCTCCCCTCTACGCTCGCACTGTGCCTTCTAGAGCCGTCAAGCTCGCATCTCCGCCCTAGGCGTGCGATTGTTGGGCAGCCGCTGGAGCCTTTGGACGTTTCTAAAGGAGAAAGGCGGGTAATTAGTGGCTGCCCACTGGCAGAGACGCGCTCTGACAGGAAGACAATCAAGGGTCGAGCTCCCACCGCTCTAAAGTCCCCCCTTCTTCCCCCCACCCCGTCCTCAGGCACCCTCACTTGAGCTTGTGCATCATAAAAAGGAAGAAGTCTTCCACAGTCTGTTCATCTGAAGCCGCAACGCGCAAAATCCCCAAAGGACCAACTGCGAAAGCGTCACTACTCTACGGGTGGAAGGCCATTGGAAGCCCTGTCACGCTGCCACGAGAAACGCTCGCCGCAACACGACACAGCAACAGCAACAGCAATAGCAATAGCAACAGCAATACTAACAACACCACCCTTTCAACCGACCCCAAGTCACTCGACTACCGATGTAAGGTCTCCGATGTATATACGTGTATGTATGTGTATGTGTGTGTATAGGTGTAGAAGTGTATATATATGTATATATATATATGTATGTATATATATATACAAATGTATGGCATGTATGCGTGTAAGGGTAGGTGGGTGAAGCACGTGGGCCCCACGGCTTACCCTTGCTCTTGCCCTTTTTTTGCGTCAACTCGAACTCAATAACGGCAGGTACAGAGTGCAACAGCGTCTGGAGGACATGCGAACCATTGGGATGAACAGCCAAGCTCGGCGCCAAAGGCGCGACAGCCCGCATGAGGCTCAAGTAGCTCTCGAGGCAGCGGATGCGACACTGCAACTTCTCCGCTTCGGACACCTCCCCAGAGCCAAACTCTGGCTGTCTCCCGCCTTCCTGGAAAGCAATAAAATTTGCGACGAGGGATATGAGCTGCTCCACGACTCGACTGCACTTGGGGTCAGAAAGCACCAGAAGGCCCTGCAAAACATGCGCCAAGCGGCATACTAAGGATTCCCTTTGCAGCCAGGTTCCTCGCACTGCATGCCCCGCAGTAACAGCTGTAGACGCGCAATACGAAACACTGCCTGCGTAGAGGTCAGAAGTTGCCAACACCTCCCACGCGCTGCATGTCAAAGGTGCTGTGTGAGCTTTCCGCCTTCCTCCTCTCCCGCCTCCTTCACCAAGCGGGCGCAGCAATCGCCGTGTCTGTTTGTCTGTCTGTCCGTCTGATACGGCTACGGGCAGCTTAGAAATTGTCCGCTCCCCCGGATGTCGCTATTCGTTTTTTACTGATAGCAATGACTTCCGTCCGTTCGCCTCCTAAGGCCTGAGAGCACCCCTCTTCGCCCTCCACGAGCACAGAGCTCATGGGAACCTGCGCCCTCCAAGAAAGCGCATGCTCTTGATGCAGAGCTAGGCACCCATAAACGATAGTTGCGAACAGACTTGCTTACCCTATCGACTATTTCTTCTAGAGTCGCAGTGACGAAGGCTTCGAATTGCAAATCGCCCTGGAAAGGGCAACTCTCGATGAGCCGCTTAATCCTCACGAAGTACTCCGACAGTCCAGCGGCCAGGGGAGCCGCTTGTTTCTGCCCTTGCCGCAATCCGCCGGAAACATCTCTAGAAGACGAAGTCGTATCCTCGTCCTCCTCGTCGCCCACGTCAGGCACTAGGGCTTCGACCGCGTCTGCTTCCTCCTCAGCGGCGGCAAAAACAGTGCCATCCTCCGTCTTCTTCTTCTTGTGGCGCTGCCCGCCTCGTCGCTTCCCCATTTTTCTCACGGGAGCTCCTCGCACGTACAGCGTGGTCCTCTTCGATGCTGTGGCTGCCGCGTCTTCGCCCTACGATCGCCGCCGATCGCGTCAACAGGCGATGCCAAACAGCTCCAATTCTTCAAAAATGCAAAACTCCGAGGAAAAAGGCACGCCTGCTGCCGCGGGATTCCGCAAGCCCTCTTTAAATAGTTGCCCAAGCCTTCCAAAGGAGTCAGCGGAAGGGAGGGGGCCCCTCGTACACCGAAAGCCCCCCGAGGATCTTCTAGACGCCTTTAGTTCAGCTAGGAAGTCGCCATTCACCATCTCGCCGCTGAATGGCGAAGCAAAAACCTCTTTTAGAGGAAGGCACTGTGGGGAACAGTCTCTGGGCTTGCCCCCCTGCTCGACCCCTTCCTCCCCGTGTGGTCCTCTGCGCGCAGGGGAGTGGCAATTTGCACTTCCGACCCGCACTGCGCACTCCTCATATTGATTTCTGCTTACACCTAAACGATTCTAGAGCAGCTGCAGAGGGAAGATCAGCAAGGTTGGATGAAATGCAGTGTTGGAAGGATGCTATGTACCCTACCTGGACGTCCGCTTCGACCAGCAGAAACGTGGAATGATAGGTGTACTGGGCTACAAAAATGTCTTTTTAGCCTAGAGCCTCCTCCACCCACCCTAGACCGAAGAGCTTTTAGCCGTTAGTCGCCGTAGAAGGAAGCGCTACGGGACCCTTGAAAATATCCCATGATGACTGGCTCGCGAGGCAGCAACGGGCGACACAAGCGTAGCAGTCTCTATTACACCATGTGTGTTCACTTCAGAAGCAGTCGAGAACTCGATATTGGGTGTAACTGCTTGCTTAGTTCTTACTTGCGGCCAAGTTTCGACAGTTAGCTCCATGCCCAAACATCAGTTTCAGGTACACTGTCCGTCGAGCTCTCATCTGTAATGGAGGGCCCAAGGGTGCAGCTCAGCAACTTCCACGCGCTTGGCGGCCGTCGCTGCCTCTCTCTCTCTCCTCTCAACCCCAAATCCTGTAGGGTGAAGATGGTCGTGGGATCTTCGAGTAGACACCTAATTACTGTTCGTTCTCTTCTGCAAAGTGTGGGGGCCTAGTAAAGGGCTTTGCCAGAGACTCTAGAAGAGGGAACATCACGGATGACGCTGGCACCGGAGGGGGCAGGCAGCCTGGGGTCCCAGAAAGCTTTTTGTTTACTGTGCGCAGTGGTCGACACGCCCGTGGCAGCCCTGATAATCTTGAGACTGTGTGTGGCTAGCGGGATGAAGTTGCTCTTAGCACTTTCTACTACACCAGTCACGTTCAATAAATCGTTGTCAAAGAATCTACAATACGTCGTTCTGCTGTTGTATGTCCGATTAATTGCGGAGGCTTCTTCCCACGGTGCGAGAAGACGTAATGCTGTTGGCGCTTGCGCTGCATGCCCTCTAGAACTAGTTGTGAACGCTTGGAATGCTGAGAGGGCGCAGCCCAGCAACGCCCACGTACTCAAGCCTACTCGGCTCCTCTCCCCTCATGTTGGGACTTGGAGGGGGGCCGGCAATGGATAGAGAGAACTTGTTTGAAAGCACTCAGTGATTTTAATTGGTTTACGTTGAGTCTGCAGTTGAGTAACTCCCCGCGGGGGCTTTTGAGGAAGCCTTATAGTAGGGGGAATAAACAGCGGGAAGACAACCCCCCTAATTACGAGTCATGCATGCAAGTGTCCTTTCAGTTGTGCCGTCAATAAAAGTAATGCTGACTCTAGAGGAGAGAGCCGCAGTGCAAATCGCTACGGTTGCTCCCTCCGCGTCGCATGCCTCGAGTTCCTTAGCGCCTAGCTGTTCAGTCAAGGGCTTCTCTGATGCTGGCTGGCGAGAAGTGAGCACTCTAGGGTAGCCTACAACTGTCTACGGGCAGTCGCGTGTCTGCGCATTCACTGGAAGCTGGAAAGCACCCAACTTGGGAACCATCAAGAACACGCACAAAGCCCTCGACCTCCTACTCCTGAGGCACCACCTCAATTTCGCTGTACATGTTTGCATCTGTTGGTGTTTGCCCGGCCGCCTCTGTGAATGCGTCGGAGCGTCCCTCCGTTTGTTGAAACACGAATACGTTGAAATCCATTCCAACAAGTCCTCCTTGTCTGTCTGTGGTGGTAGTGCTCCCGCTCGCATCCTTTAGCAGCCGCAGCTGCGCGCTCGCCGCTGGCTAAAGAAAGCGGACTCGAAAGCCAGAATAAAAGGCAGAACTGCTACTTCCTCTTCGTTTGGACAGCCTGCGCCTTGAAGGGCGAGACGGTGCTAGTTGTCACGGGAAGAGAAACACCCTCCGTTTTTTGTTTTCGCAGTCTCAAGGAGTGCCGCCTCAAGAGGCCGCTGCCCTCCATCTCGGGAGAACGGTCCTCCAAAGGCAGCCCTTCCTGCACTCCCGCCAACCCCTCATTCTCCGTTCTCGATCCCCCCGACGTCGCATCCTCCAGACTGCTCACTTCCATGGGAGACGCGCGGCAAGCAAGTCCCCCTAAAGGCCGCTCTACCCCCCCGCTGGTGGTACTCGAAGACGAGGCTCTAGAACGACGACACCGCGATGAAGCTCCCGTCTGAGAGCCTTCGCCAAACTTAGGGCTTCCCACATCCTCCAGGATCTTGCCCTTCGAAATCGACGCCTCTAGTGATGACCGTTTTGCCGCAGTAGCAGCGTCCGCAGACGCTGCCTCACCCCCTTCCAAAGCTCGCCCTTCTGCCCATTCCACCTGCACCTGCGACTCCCTCCGCCGCTGCTTTACCGGCTGTCTGGGGGTGCTGGCTTCCGCACAGGGGCCCCTACAGGTCGCCAGAGGGGGCCCCTCTAGTGGGGGACAGGCAGCAAGTGTGGCTTGAGGACGACTCGTCCGGTGGCTTTCGAGTTGCATCCGCAGCAATTTCTGCTCCAAATGCCTTCGCAAACGGTGCGCAGTCTCTAGCTCCCCGCTGGCTTGCCGCGCAGTCTCCGCGCTTTGGGCCTGCTGCTGCTTCGCAGTCTGCAGCTCCTTCAGAACCTCCTGGATCCTGTGCTGCAACTTGGACGTCTCCGCTTGCCGACTTGCCTTCTCTGCTTCCCACCGGGCTAGCGCTTGAGCCACATGGCCGTCCTTAGCCTCCAAATGCTTTCTCAACTCCGCCTCCGTCGCCTGTTGCTGCTGCAACTGCTCCTGCAGCTGGGCAAGCTCACCTTCTAAAAGGCCGCGTGCTGCTTCTTGAGCCGCCTTGGCTGCCCTCTCCTCCTCTGCCACTCGCCTCACCTCCTCCAGTGCCGCCTCCTTTGCCTGCGCCTCCGACTGCATCTGCGCTAAGAGGGCTGCTGTCTCCTCGCTAGAAACTGTCTGCTGCTTCAGCTGCTCCTCGAGCTTCCTCACTGTGCGCGCTGCCTCCGCCTCCACTTCCCTAATGGCCTTGTCGCAAGCCTTTTTGTGGTGCTCTTCTACTTGCGCCAACTTCTCTTGCTGCTGCGAAGCCGTCTTGGCTAGCTGCTCCTGCTGCTGCTGCAACTGCTCCTGCTGCTGCTCCAACTGCCCCTGCTGCTGCTGCAACTGCTCCTGCTGCTGCTGCAACTGCTCCTGCTGCTGCTGCACACGTTCCTCCATCTGCTTGAGTTGCTGCTGAAAGAGCAAGTCCTTCTCTGCCAACTGAGTCTCTAAGAAGCAGTCCTTCTGCGTCGCTTCCTCTCTGAGCCGCTGTAACGCCTCCCGTAACTCCTGCGCCTGCCCTGCTAAAGCCTTCGCCTCAGCTCGAACGGCCTGCAGCTCATTCTCCCTCGTTGCCAGCGAAGCTTCCACATCCGCTTTCTGCTTCTCAAGGGAAGATACAGCAGCACGCTGCACGCAGACGCGCAGAAATTGACAGGAGGCAAATGGACAGAGGCAGCGCGAATCTCGCAGAGAAGGCATGGCCCACAACACGAATGACTAGGAATATGAAGGCGATGGGTAGAGGCATGTGCTCGCTACGAAACTCCGCCAACGCCACGCCATACAGGCGAAACACACAGTGGGAGACAGAGATCTTGCTGCCAGTAGAAACTATACATAGAGCGACAAAAGAGATCTCGAAAGAAAGACGGAGGAAGCGCGCTTTTTTCGTGTGTGACTCACGAGCTTCACGCGTTCATCCTTCTCAGACCGCAGGGTTTCGACGAGAGAAGACAGCCGATCCACCTCCTTCTTCTTCCCCCGCAAGTTTTCCTCAAGGCTCAGCAGGGAGTCTTTCAGATGCTGCGAGCACACGAGGACGAAGCGGAGAAGAGTATGACTGCAGGCAAGCGGCCAGGAGACGCACCTATAGATGTGCGCGGAAGGTAGCTGGCGAGGCGAGGCGCAGGGATGAAAATGCAAAAATAAATAAATAAACTGCAACTCGGGCAGCAGGTCGACTGCGCGAGGTACACAAGGCAGCAGAAGACAGGAGAAGGCGGCACTCTGCTTGTGGAGGAAGTCAAAAGACTGCTGACAACTGGCTAGTCCTCTCCTGCAAACGTTTTGAAGAACGAAGGCGTGGGATCGATGGGGCAAGCCGTCGCCACCACGACACATCTCTTTCGTGTGCATCACTCACCTCTTCTTCTTTCCGTGACACCTCCTTTTGATCTGCCAAGAGTTTTTGTGTCTGAGTGCTCTCAGCGGCCAGACGAGTTCGCAGTGCTTCCACCTCCTTCCTCGCTGCCTCGAGCTCCTTCTCTCGCATCCCCCTAGACGATTCGGCTGCCGCTGCTGCATCGGTTGCAGCCTGCTGCAGCCGTTGCTGCACCTGCTGCAGGATGCAACAGGTGTTCGCCTCCCCTCTGAGGGCCGTGTGGAGGGCTTGTGAGAGAGAAGCATTCTGCGTGAGTGCACGCTGAAGCTGAAGCAGCGTCAATCTTAACAAGGCAGCTGCAGGTTCCTCCTCAGCTCCTTCTACGGCTGTAAGGGTTGGTCCGCCTGAGCCATTCCAATGCCTCCCACGAAAAGCCAGCAGCTCGGCTTGCTTCGTTAGAGGCCTACTATGGCTGCCGTCCCTACACCCCGACATCTCCTCCATTCGACTTGCACCTGCGGGAGCTCTCGCGAGTTCCCTCCAACGCGCGAGTCTCGCAGAGCCCCTCCTTGCAAGGAGTTTCTGTACGACTAAGGCGGCTTTCCAATGCGTGCAGATCACTATAATGCATACAATGGCTCATGGCCAAGGGGTGAAGATGGGGCAAACAAATTCCTGCGGTCGCCTGTCTGTGCACCCTCACGGCTGGCTGCCTGTCTGTCCGCCTGTCTGTCTTCCTCTAAACTAGAAAGTTTCCGCGTAATCTTTTACCCTCCAAGAATTGTAGGGCCGCGAAGGCAAGGAGCCGAGTCAGGGCTAAGGAAGGCCGGAGGGTGGAGGGATGAGGTGAGGCAGAGGTGAGGCAGGCGCTGAGAGTCTCCCGGCTACGGAAGGAAGCGGCACAAAAGAGAGATCTGGAGATCTTGATAAGTTGGGAACACTTCTGGCATCATCAGGGCATCTCAGCAAACACCCGCCACACCACCGTAGGTTCGGTGTTCTTGGGCAGAAACGAAGGGCATAGGAGTGATTCTACCCATAGGAGATGAAGCAGCAGCAGCTGAAAACGAAGCAGTGAAAGAAAATAGACAGATATTATGACAAGAGGACAAAATTAGCCTCCTGGCTAAACTGTGTGCGGAGGCAGCGTGCGGCGCCGCTGAGGTAGGGGGCTGGAGGCCCCAGGGTTGTGGTGTTGTTTCGATATATATATTAATATAGTTGTATGTTTGTCTTTTTATATGGCAGAGGGGTCGCGGAACCAAAAAGCGTCTGTTCTTATTCTCATGGTTCAATGCGCGCTAGTTGTTTAAAGCCCAGTTTTCAAATCACGGGGAGAACCCGTAAGGGGAAGGCTTGGCGGGCTCCAGTCTTCCCGTGTAACAGCACCTCCGCTGTTATACACACACAGTTTTAAGTGAATGACGCGCCGTACTAGAGAGTTGCAACTCTCCCTGCATCGGTGCTTTTGCACAGCTAAGACGCACACTGAAATTGCACAGCAGTACAACTTCAAGGGCGTATCCCTGGGCTTGCCCTTCTGCATAATCCCCTAGACATGAGGCACCAACGAACACCACCCACCCTTATGTCACCAGAGAAGCAACCAACTCACAATCGGGCAGTAGCACGACAGTTGGAGGAATTTGTTTGGCCAGACTGCGTCCCTATGCGCCCCACCAAAACCTCTAGCATATGCACGAGCCCTAACTGCTGGCTGGCGAAAACGCGCCCATATTGCCATTCAATCGAGTGTTAATAGCACATGCGAAGGAGTGCTGTCATAGGACGCTGAACCCTGCGTACCACCTACGCATGCACACCCGATAGCCAGAGGCTGAGGGCGTGCAATCCTGCGCCGCGCTTCTTGCGCACGCATATACCGCGCGTTGCATGCTCATTTGGGCTGCTGCAATAGATTTTGGGGGGCTCATGACAGACCAAATTGCGTACATTCCGAGAAGTGAATACGCTTTCACCTAAGGCATGTTACCTACTGTAGCACTCCGTCTAACCTCTAGGTGGGGGACTGTAGTGGGCTGGGCTCAACAAAGCTTTCTCTACACCAGTTACATCCAATTGAGGATCCATCAGCAATTGAGTGTGCTTGATATGGCTGGTGTACATATATTTGGTTGCGGAGCACTACGAGCTCGATACTAGAAAACGCAGTGATGTCTGCGTGTGCGCTACATGCCACTGGAAATCAGCACTGAATTTTTGGAGTGCTTAGAGGCTGCCGCCGCTCCAATACACCCTAGCTCTCCCTCGATGTGGGCGCACAGAGGGAAGCGAGCGAGGGAAGGAGAGTTTCGTTCGAACAACACTCAATAGCATCATTAGTTACCTATTGAGTCCGGATTTTTGTTTATCGAGGCCAGAAGTAAAGTATCACAGTTGGTGCCATCGCATGGTTCGACGATGTGTCCGGCTCGTCCAATGGCTCTGGATGCATTGAGATGTTAGGTTTACCTACAGTAGCAGGCCCATTTTGATCAAGTCAGTTGGTGAAAAGGTCATTCGGTTTTCTTTGGCATCAGTCTAAAGAGAAGATTCTCTCGTGATAGAACTTGGCAGTGGCACACCGCCAGGCAAAGCAGCAGTAGCTGGCCTGCAAACTGATGTGAGCGCAGTAGCTCTACGGCCGCTAAAAAATGATGACTTGCCAACCCAGGTATTGTTCCTAGACAAGCCGGCTGGAGATGTACCTTGCTTTGTACCCCAAAATAAAGAGGAAGTACTGATGCTTTTTGCATGTATATTGGAGGAGGATGCATTTCAATGTTGGGTCCATTTATGCAGAGAAGGTTGCCTGCCCGAAGGGATTACTACGGCTCAAACCTGCACACAAGCCCATACTCGTCGGTTATGCCAAGACGAACTCAGCACCAGGCTTTGGGATATTTGAGAAAGCTGAAGCAGGGAACTTCATTAATGATGATGCTTAGATGGATATCCACAGAGATATGAAGCTTTTCTTTGCACAAGGAACAACGTCCACAACAGATGCTGCACAAGTGGTTTATCTCTGGCTTACTAAAAGTGTCACGTCAAGTCGTAGCAGGATGGTCTTGAATTCAGCGGTAAACAATTGTTCGATAAAGCGTCCAAAAAAATGTAAGTGAGGCGTCAGCAACAGATAAGTACAACTCCTACTGCTATGGCCGATAGGGCGAAGCCATAAGGGGACATTGACCCTGTGGATGTCGGACCTGGGTCACTTTAACCTATCCTACAGTCCAGGGTAAACGGGCAAAGAAAGCAACTGCAATTTCACGTGTTTAAGCAACCACAAGCATCCTTACAACAACACACCTTCTTGTTATTCGGGAGATTGTGACATATTCGCCAAAACTGCAAGCGAATGCAACAAGCCAAAGAACTTTGAAAAAGGAACTGGGCCCAGCGGAAGCAAGCTGCGTGGCATGCGAAGAAGGGGCATTCTCGAGACTAATATTTTGCTATGCAGCGTACACCGCAGTTAGAAGGGCCATAGAGGAAAGAGCCGCAGTTGGGGGACTCACCAGGTGTCAATTCTCCGCTGGTGAAAGCGCAATTCAATCGCCAATGCTCGAGCTACTCGATACTGAAAGTCAAGCAAATCTCTTATCTCATGAGACGGCGCAGAGGTAAAATCTGTTAGTTCATTCGTTCGCGCGGTCCCATAGGCTCAGGTTTGCTGACTGGCGCCACAAGGCCCAATATTGGCAAGGCTAGTGCAGCTATGTACTAGTCCTATTCGCGATTGAGCTCTAGCAGCAGGGTCCGTGACTTATATCTTCGACGTCTGCACCATGACTTACCCCTAGGTATGCCATGGATGGCCCAATGGAAGGCGCATGTGCGGCCACAGCCGCGTGCGGTGGAGATAAACGTCCCAGAAGGCGCTAGAAAAATCATATCTTGGTCTCCTTGGCTACTTCCAAATCATTTATGGTGAGCGCGGTAGAGTCGACACCTCATCACGATGAGGCAGAGTTTTCGCACAGCCTGGTCAGCAGCGCAGCTTAAGAAGACGGTTCTGATCATGCATCCAGTTTTAATGATGCTGCAACTGGTTCTGATCTACGATATTCCGCTAAACATGTGCAGCCGAGCAACACCAGAAATGCAACGCATCTTCATGCCGCTCAGTCTCCACCTCATACGATCTGGGCTCATGATATCCCAGAAAACACTTGGAGCTGACCCAGAGGTCAGCTTAAGACACGATAGGGTGCGCTGGACTTTTATTGGGCGGCCAGCCTGCTGGCCGCTTGTCATTACTTAGCAAATGCAAGCTCCTTGTAATTTTTCTAGAGGACGGTGAAGCGCAAGAACAGCCCAGCGCTCCTAGGTACAAACCAGTGCTGGTGACAAAGATGGAAGGTGCCGCATATGCGACAAACTTGAGTCACCAAACAGGAGCTCAATCAAAAAAAATTCCCGATGCATAATTGGCGAACCACTTGACAGCAACCACTAACCAGCAGCGCTCGACGTTACATATCCCCAATCAGCATGATGGCAGGCACAAAACGGCGTTACTGCACACTCAAATATAACTGTATACCATTTGAACTTGTAAATGCATTAGCTGAACTACAACGGCCGGTCAATCGGGATCCTAACATCCTGTTTGAGAGAGAGCTGGGTGGAGGTCTAGATAGAGGACTGTCTATATGGACACAATTTAGTCTTTGGCCGAAACTTTTGGGAGCATCTACAGCGTCTCCGGCCATCTCCTTTCGTGTAGCAGGCTAAGCAGTAGGAAAGGAAGGCACACAACTTTTTCCAACGAGGAGCATCGTCTTTCTTGGAGTCCGTGCTTCGGCTGCAAAAGTTTAGCTAAATTCATAAAAATACAAGACATTCGTTCCCGGACTCGCTCGAATCGTTCTTTCTGTAACGAATCTACCTAAAAAAACAGAGGCTGACCTAGACAGAGCAAACTGATCCAGCAGCAAGGACGCATATCGGCCGCCTTTAAGCTTTTCGACGCTTCCTGGCTATATGCATCGGTTTACTCTAATGGGCGATACTAGTAACGCAGCAGTGATTGTTATTCTTTCCCAACAGGCTTCTGGCTATCCGAATAATTAGATTACTTATCGTCGTTCTTAGCGCTTTACCGAAACCGACCAGTGCCCATTTTAGGAAACGCAACCATATGCGGTGTGGTAAGTCGTGAAAATGCCAGCGCTGTTTTCATGGGGCGCATGTTACTGTCCTGGCCGACCGGAGGTCTTTAATGTACCCAACGAAGAGGCTTGAGGACTTTAAGAACCTTCGAAATGTTTGCTGGTTTGGGCATCTCCTGCAGTTCGAATTTGCGCTGAAGTGGCGTCCGATGAGCTCTCGCGATGCCTCGACAGTTCATTATCGTGCAGCGAAGCTGCGCTTGTCTGTACGAATTCATGATTTCTATCAAAAATGTGTGAGTGTCGTGCGTTAACTTCTGTGCACCTGCTAATATTGCTAAAATCCACGGTGACGCAACGGTGGAGCACTGCCACGTTAAGGACAGCTTGCTGGGGCTCACAACAAAGCAAAAGCCCCGTCGCTTGTACATTCCGGCTTCTCTTCGCAGCACTGTTTTGCCCAATGCAAATAATCCTGGCCGCTCATGCATTTATTGGGTCTGTACTCTAATGAGAAAGCTCTCACAGCCTATCTGGTGGACTTGGATGCATTCCAGGGAGATAATTTCCCACTGTCATGCCCAGATTACTGGCCGATGAAGCCGCGCAGCTCTTCTTAAACCGGTATTTTGCAGAGCTTCCCGGCCGATGAAGGGATTCAGGCTTATCTACTCTGGATCCTATTGTTGGAATGCCAGAGATTAATGGTCACTGTAGCATCTAAGGCTTCATCAAAAGACTCACCAAATATGCCTATTTTCGCCTTTGCTTCAGCTCTGGCACGGCTCCATATGTCGATCAATTATTCTGAAATCATGTCCGAAAGCTTTACGGATTTTCCCGAAGTATCATCACCAATAAGTATCCAAAGTTTGTTAGTGTGCTCTGCCATGCTTTTATGACCCGCCTTTAAATGGACCAAAATATGACGACTGCGAACCACCCTGAGACTAATGGGCGAACAGCACGCACCAAAAACCATCGTTTGCAGGATTTGTAGCACTGTGCTCTCACAAACCCAATTGCTTGAGATGAGTTTCTTCCTTGTGCTGCATGGTTATATACTACAACACTATCCCTGTTTGCCCATGCCTTCCCCGCCTCCTTGATTTACCATGAGGATTTCCTCTTCAGTCTGCGCCTAGATCTGGTGGGCCAGTGTCAGCAGCCACCCTTAGCAGCTGAGAAATTCAGAGGACAGTTATGCAGTGCACGCGAACGTGCGCGCAAATTCGAGAGAAACAAGCACGGATTCGTGATAAGTGAATGCCGGCTGCAAATCTCAAGCGTAGAGGCTTGGTTCTGATGCGTCGGCAATGATTCCGAGGCTCACCAGAGGATCAGATGGAGCAATTTGCGGCTAGGTGTCTAGGACCTAGGTATCAATGCTCTTTCTTATTCTATGGATTTCTCTAAATGTTGCAGATGTCATAGGGCTGCTACTATTGCCATTTTTTACAAGTCTCCAAGCCCTCTGAATTATTCGCAGACTTTGCAGCGCATGCAAGCGACACGAGTGGAAGCAGAGGATCCACAGAGGCGTAGAGGTGCTGCATTAGAGGTCTGTTGGGTTGCGAGGATACAGTCGATGGGAACACCCAGCGAAATTTGGTGGGAAAGCCGGCTTCATTGATCGAAGAGTGAGCAGCTGCGCGCTTCGTTGCTTGCGGGAGATTTTGCGGCTTGGGTTAGTTACCAACGTTAATCTCCATGGACAGTTGTCCTCGCGTTACGTGGTGATTGTTTTTCCTCGGCGCATGCCGTGCGTGAGATGTCGACATCATCGAGGGGCATGCTCGAAAAACTGCTAGATATTAGTGTCAAGGTGTTCTCTACGCACAGATTAGAGCGCACCACCCGCCAAAGTTGTCCTTATAATGGGTAAAGTTTTCTCCAGATTTTAGAACAAACTTGACAGCAAATGATGTAGAAGTACTTACATCGAGGCGGCGCTTCTCACGGCTCCAACACAGGGGAGAAAGACAGCTATCTTGTGTGTAGCTGCTACCTTCGATCCCTCGAAGCATTCACAGCTAGCTGCATATGGCATATATAGCACACGCACACAACATTGCGTCTTCCTCTATAGAACTAACAGCTCTGCGCAATAAATCCGCTCTACGAGCAGACAAACCAAGTGGACAATTCCCTGCACAACTAATTCTAGTCAATTCTCTTCTAACCCTAAACTACACGTAATCAGCTTAGCAGATCCGGCGAAGCGTGACTTGGCCAGCCACCGTTGCACACAGGCTATTGCCAACGTTTCCTGCAAATGCCCTTTTGGTCGCCATCTGTTTTAGGCGGAGAGGCAGTGGGACACCGCGAACTTTTGCAGCACCCAACCTCCAGGGTTTTTCTCATTTCTATGGATATGTTTACGCGCCACTATTGCGCCCCCTTACAACTTTTATATCGGTGAATTTTATACCCTTCGTAACATTCCAGACCCCCTCCCCCTTTGATCTAGACCTGCTGCCTGCATAAAACTTGCGCCCTCCGTCCTCGCCGTTTCCTACGTTGTACCCCTTTCGGACCGAGTCAAAATGAGCGAGACGCACAGCCGTGGGCAGCAGCGTGTTGCAACTACAGATATGCGCCTAAAGTACAATTCTATATAGTAGGAGATAACTCCGTGCAGATGATACATCTCCTCACAGGCCTCCCCAGCAGGCATTGTTCTCTGGCAAAGAAGGGGAAGACAAAGATAAATTCATAAAGGGCGAACTGGCTGCTCTCAGAATCCTTCAATCTCGCTTTCTTTGGGGACGTGTGAGGCGAAGGGCGAGTTTGCCCTTCTAACGAAAGAGCGCGAAGGCCGAGCCCTCGGAAAAGGAAAGCCGTCTGCTGCTGCGTCCATGCACCCTCCGCAAGATCACATCCACAATTTGGCAAGAGACCTGTGCGCGTTCCTCCTCCCCCAGAAAACAAAACATACTTTTCCACACCCTCCTACTGGAAGCCTATTCCAGAGGACCTCAGAGGGCCCCCACTGGGATAGGCTTGCGCTAATGGGAGGGGCACAAGGGCCGGAAATGTGTGAAAGCCCCCATACCTCCCCTTTATAGCCTCCAGAGTGCACAAACTGGACGGAGTCAAGGAGGCCCACTAGGAAACAAAAAGGTGAGGCGAAATGGCATTCCTGACTGACAGTTGCCCCGTTCCCTGACTCCCTCCCGCCTTCCCTCGCCACCAAAATAAACGCACACGGCGGGATTGGGCTGAAAATTCGGCAACAGCCTACTGTTTTTGCTTCTGCAAAGGGACGGGGAGAAAGACTCGTGCGCACAAGGCGGCAGTACCCTGCCTTTCCCAGGAAGTTTGTACCACCAGCCCCCTTCCCCTTCCCCACTCCCGGAGAACTCTTTCTTGCCCAGTGTCAAGTGTCTCAGCATAAAACTTCAATACGAGCGGCGAAGAAGCAGCATATCTTCAGGAATGTGCTGCCACCACCCCTCCATCCCCCTTGTGAGTTAGCCCCTTCTTTCCCTCGGCCATGCGATGGCGGAAAGGCAGAACCTGAAAGCAAGCAAGGCCCTCCTAAAAAGGAACCGCAAGCCGATTCCTTCCCACAACGCCACCACCTTCTATCTCCCCCTCTCCCCCTTCCTGGCTTCTCTGCTCCGCGCGGGCGTGTCAAGCTGCAGCGGCCCTCGCTTTGCAACCTTTGCCCGCCAGTGCGTGACTCTGCACCTTCGACAGCCGCACTTTGATTGCCCAGTACTTCGACCTATAGAATCCATGGGTCTTCGCAGAAAATGATTTGTAGTAGCGCTTGCCACCCTCATACCAGGAAGCAATCCAGCTCCTCTTGTCCCAATAAACTCCAGCCACATCGCACTTGAGATCACTCGGGTTGTCTGGATCCGGGGCCTCCTGCTCTGGATAATCCAGGAGGTACTCGTATTCGCCGCCGTCGGCAGCAGAAGCAGCAGGCGGCACTCCAGCGGGTGGCAACACATTCGCCGTTCCCGGAAGTGTTGGGGGCCCACACGGCTGCGACAGAGACACCGGGGGCCCCCCCACAGCCTTACCGGACGCTCCAACAACGGGGCCCCCATAGGCATTCCCCAACCCCATAGCCGCTATAGCGCCCGCAGGTGGCTGCTGCAGGGGCCCACTCCCCCCCCTCCCTGAAACGGCAAGGCCTGCGCCCGCAAAGTCTTGGGCGAGGCCCCCTGGAGCCGTCGCCTGGGGCAGCTGGAGGCCCCCCGCCCCCCCCCCCGCGTGGCTGCCCAGGGGGCCCCCCCCCGCGCCGTTATCCCTCCGCTGTCGCTTCCTCGAGCTCCCCGTGAAGACCTCCTCGTGCACACTTGGACCAGGTCCGTGCGCGAGGAGTGGAGGCGATAGCTGCTGCATCGGCTGAGGCGTCTGCGCGTCAGCGTACACGTGAAACAGCTGTCGTGCGCCTCGTATCCCCGGACTGGTAGCCTCCCACTCCCGCGTGGCGTTCGGGAAGCTCCTGTCCAACTTGCTACACAAGTCATCGAGTTTCGAGCAGGCCGTGTGAATCGCATCCAGCCACTGTAGATACTTCTCTATGCCGGAACGGGGGGGGGGCCCCGAGGCCCCCGCATTGCTCGCACCGGACCCAGGGGCCCCTGCAGCGGGGCCCCCCGTTCCCCCAAAGCCACCGCCTTCACCAGAGAGAGGGCCTCCGCAAGAGCCGACCTGATCCTGAGACACATCCGCATAGACTCCGTGAGCGGATGCTCCTGTCGATCCTTCTCCGCGATCCGGGGAACCTTCTCCCAAAGGTGCCTCGCTCATCCTATCCGACGGACAAACAACAGCCCTCCCACCGCCCCTACTACTCGCGAGGCCCTGCCTGCTGGGGGCCCCCTGAGGTAACCCAGGGGCCTCCTGGGGGCCCCCGCAGGCTGCAGCGCTCGCCGGTTCAAGCAGCACTGCTGCGCTGTGCCCCTCATGGGGAGGGCCTAGTCCAGTGTCTGCGGGAACCCCCCGCGAGGAAACGCCATGATAACTTTCGACGCCGTCTGCGCCAAAGTCTGCGGGCACGCCACCCCCCCCAAATGCCTCGAGACTCTCGGCAGAGTGGAAGGGGCTCGTGTCTGCGGGCTGTGCGATGGACGTATACGCCGCGGGGGGCCCCCCCATGTCGGGTACAAAGCCCGCAGCGGCAGGCCCATGGATGGGGTACGTGAGAGCCTGCATGGGGGCGGAAGGAGCGCCGCTAGGTTGGTGCTGCTGCTGCTGGGTGGCGGCAGCAGATCCGGCTGCGGTGGTCGGGGGAGGCTCAGCGTGCTGAATCTGCTGGGATGCAGACGAATCTAGCACGCTATAGGCCACACCCGAAGCGGAGCAGGGGAGGGCTGCTCCAGTCGGTAGAGCATCCATAAGGAGGAACCGTCGTGTGGCTGCTGCGGCTGCGACGCCGATTCGCCCCTAGAGCTTCGCGCGCAGTCGGGCGGCTGGAGAGCTCGTAATAATGCTTCAGAAAAGTTCACCAACAGAGAGGAAAACACCTCCTACGAGGCCAGAAACACGCTGCATGTACCCTCTGTCGCTGTTGTTCCCCCAGGCAACCCGGTCTTGCTGCTATACCACCTCTCGCCCGCGTGAAAAAAGAGGTATAGGTATGTATATAGATATATGTATGTGGAGGTGAATTGCGCCTGCTATCGATGCTGTAAAGTTCGGAATCACTGCGCGGCTATAAAGTCTCGGCGGGACGGCAGCAGGCGCAGCGGCCGAGGCAGAAATAGAGGCCTTAGAGAGCCGCTGTTTTTGCAAGGTTCCCTCTAGGGCGTCGTCAGTGCGTGCCGCTTCCGGTAGCAGTGCAACGCGCGAACCTGTGGACACACCTGTTGGGCAGCAGCACCCACGAGTGGGTACAGCCCATGAGTGGAGGGCTCGTGGGGCCTCTATCCGCTAATTCAGGGGTAAAGTCTGCAGAACAAGGGAAAGATTGACTCCCAATGGGGTTTCCGAGGTGGCACCGGGTGGCAAGCGCTCCAAGGCGCAGCGTTTCTCCAACGCCTCGTGCCGATCTTGAACGAAGACTGGATCCTTGGGCAAGGCCCTGAAGGCAGGGGCCCCTGGAAACAAATACCGGACTGCTGGACGGAGGAACGGCAGACGGGGCAAGGGAGGTTGCGAGTGCGAGCTTGCGGAATACGCGAGCCTCCAGGCCTCTTGAGCCTCAAATTGAGTGCAGAATATAGAAGCAGCACGAGGTCTCCAATAATATGTGACAAAGGGAGCCCGCGGCAGGGCCAGCTACAAGGGAGGGGAGGTATATGCCGTCCACGAGGCAGTGCAGCAGGGGCAAGGGGCTGCCAGAGTTCGGGGCGTAGGGTTTAAAAATGAGGAGAGACGAACGAAGCAAAGAACCGCAGAGGTTGGGGGATGTTGGCGGAGCCGAGCATCCACATTGATGAATTGAACTGCGCAGCACCACGAGGCGTCGGCGAACAGCCGTGGGGCTATAGGTTTTGAGGCGTCGCACACCTCAGCGAAACAGGACGGCAGACAGGAGGCAACTACTCCACATATTTATTGCCACTCTGATTGATTTGAGGGGATAAGGGGCGGACGCAGAGAAGGCACGCCGCTAGCTGCGACGGCAGCACCACACGCAGGGCTTCGTCTGTTGTTAAACGACCAGCAGCAACAGCAGCAGGACAGCAGCAGCAGCAGCAGCAGAAAGAGGAGCCTCCTGCTGTCCCTTCTTTTCCTTTTAGAATATTTTCCGGAGCTAGATGACCGGAAAACCTTTCGATTTTAGAGCCGTATAAACTTTAAATCATACCAGCCACTTCTCAAAGGCCGCCAGCTTTTCTCCGGATAGCTGCGCACTCCGCACTCTGTCGACGCTTTCAGGCTGTCTGCACGCCACGCAGACGTTGCAGCTTCTTACACCCTCCAATCAATTTAATTCGCGTTTCCAGGCGTCATTTTTACCTTTATGTTATTCAGTTAGGCGAGGACACGCACCAGGCGAGCAGACACTACAAAGTACGCAGCTCCTGCAGCAAGACCGTGAGGCAGCGCCCGCTGCAGGCCAAAAGGCCTTACTGCTACCTTCTAAAGTAGATCCGAAGAAGCCGAATGAAGGCACATTCTGTACCCGTTGCCTCAACTGCTTGTTCATTTAAAGACAATTAGTGGCTGCTGCAACAAGTCTCTGTTTAGTGCGGTTGTGGGGAACACAAATTAGTAAAGATCGACGCCTATAGGAGCCCCCATACTTGAGCTACGTATAGTCGTCTTAGTGGAAAGAAACGGGCAGCAAGGCCATGAAGCGGCCCTAAAGCCTGTCGTGGAGGCCTCGCACACAGCCTCGTACTACTATCTCCTGACGCATTCCACACCCACTGCAATTTAGCTAAATTGACAGGGAAGTGCCTTCCTACTTATTGCCATATTGACAGTCTTCGTGGCAATACAGATAAGCTCTGCCTAAATGAAGGAGTATGAAAGGCCGAATCTACTCGCGACACGTCTAGGTCCGGTCACTCAGTGCAGGCACTGAGCTCCTCAGAGCTGCCTACACGCTCTGCGTGCCCTAGATTTGAAATGCCCACAAAGGATTCAGCTTACGAGTGCTATCTACTGTTACGTCGTGTGTCTGCTCAACTACATCTGACAGCATCCAAAAAGTGAGCACTGGCTGAGAGTAAGCCGGTGCCATGCATTCTCAGAGAGAAACACGACGGTGAAAGTGAAGCAATACAGATTATTTGGGTAAAGTAGGTCATCCAAATTGAAGAGTCTTTAAGTCTTAGCAAAAAGTGCTGTGTGCTCAGAGGGTTGAAGCCATGAAACTGGCTTTTCCACAGGAGAACAAGTGCAAACTTCTGGCCAATAACAGATTAAGGGGCAAACACCACAAAACGGATGAACGGCTCGCCCTGACACCGCTTCTCAATGCCGGCTTCTGCCTGCTAAATTGCTAATGCCGTTTTTATGTGCTCTGCAGTTGGCACTGTAGAGTCAAAGCCACTTCCACACCGAAACGGCGAACACTTGAGTTTACCTCTAAGAGCTTAAAGGTGCTATCAAAGGAGATATATTATGAGCGACTCATGTGGCATGCCTTTAAACAAAATAAAAAACATGAATTTCAGTGTAGCATAGGGGCTGATCGATGAGGGAGTATTGAGGCTATCTGAATAGGGGCTGATTCCGAGTGTACTGCGAAATATGTGCGCCTGTTACTATGTAGTGAGATATTCCGAAGCCTATGCGATTTAATTTTCCGAGACACGCAAGAGAGAAGGCAGGGAATGTTAGACATTCAATCGCGTCCTTGCCACCAACAGCTGTGGCTGCAGGTGAAAACGAACACACGGGCGAAGAAATCACAACATCTCAGATTTGCAGACAGCGCATGGGTTCGATGTGCCCCGTTTCTGCTCATTTAGCATTCTTTGTTGCCCTTCTAGCCTGTCTGTACGTGCAGTCAGCAGCCAGCTGCAAAGCGCTCACTCGTAGCTGGGCGGCCTCGACGCCCGATGTAGTCGGCGGTGAAGATCGCTGCCTCTTCCTCGCAGCGTGAAACGCCACCTCTAACCACCCCTTCTGCGAGTTAGGAGAACATAAGTTGTGTAATGCCTTTAAAAAACCTTCTTGTCCTCTCCCTCCCATAAAAGCCTGCACAGCGTACCAGCGGCATCCGGTGACTCACCGCCGCCCTGCGGCACGCGCAGCGTATCGACTGTAAAACACACCGAACACATCCTGCTGATCCGCCTTCTTTTTACCACCAGGTCGACTTTAGGCTCTTTCACGTGAAAATTAGGGACGCCACCACAAGCACGCGCACCAACGGCTTATTTGCGGGAGGGGCAAACATTAGACCGGCCTTTGATGCAGTCCCCCGGTTGAGTCATGATCTGGGGCAGCGGCTGGTGTTCTCGCAACTCTCTGCAGTTTCTGGTGTCCGGATTTTCGCTTCCCTTGAAGCCATCCCTCTTTGGTAAGCCCAGACTCTGACGCCCTCCGCCTCTTCTCTCCTGGGGCACTGTTGTGCCTCAGGGGAGGTCAACAGCGGCGCACCTCATGAGCACCTAGGACATGCACACGTCTTATCGGCTACAGGCGTTGGTTTTTCATGTGTGTGGATGCCAGTGAGAGTGTGTATCTACCCAGCCGCATCTCACATCGGTCCTGCATAGCAATGGAATATATGTGCTCCTCTCTGTCTTCTGCAGCCAGCAGGGCGGTCGCTCACCTTGCCCCTTGTCCTTTAACACCTTCGCTCACACGCGTTTCAAGGTTTACACCCAGCAACAATGATTTCCTCCGTTTTTCACCCACAGGAACAAATGAAACCTGGAGCCTCGCTCCTAAACCAGAGCAGGCCCCACCCTCAGGAGGTTATTGTCTCTGAGAAAATCAGGCCTTTGAACACCGCCAATGCAATTGAGGCAGGCTTACCTGTCCTGGTGCAGCATTCCTCCTCTATGATGGCTGCTCAACCCGCAGGGCGACTTATCCCCACCAATGTGCGGCCACCCCAGTGCCTCGCGGCAGCAGGTACAGCTTAGCAGCAGAGAAGTAGCTGCACTGGCGTATCTCTGAGCCTATGCGCATGCAGGAATCAATGTGCATCCCTTGTCTCTGCTACATCTTCACTCTGAACCAGGCAGGACCCTTTAGGCTTTCCTGCCGTTGCGCTATCTTGCCGAGATCTACGAACATTCCTCTGTATATTGCTTTCCTCCCTTCTCTTCGGCGTGTTCCCACCTCCCCTCAGCCCTACCCCTGCTATCTATGTGTGTGTGAACCCCGTATATTTCTTTACTTTCCACCCGCTGCTGCCGTTGTGGATGTGCTATCACAGCGGTTGGCAGCGCCTACATCCCCCCTGCACTCACTGGCTCTCCCTTCTTTCACGCAGCGCCATCGGCGCCACCGTGCATATCCCGAAATCCAAAGGCCCCTACCCTTGCTGCCCTGACACACCGGCTGGGAGCTCCGATATTCTCAGAGGAGGCAGCAGAGATCAAAAACTGCGCCGGGTTCGACGGTCAATCATCCGAGCAGCAACAGCAGACGGAAGCAACAATGAGTAATGGCACGCGGCTTAGAGGTTTGAGCCCGATTCAAACAGGTGTCTCTTGGCCCCCTCCGAACTCTGTGTCTGTGGACTACGGCAATGTACGCAGTGCCATGGATGCCGCGGGCACGGCGCTCGCGGGCATGAGCTGCGTTCTGCCAACAAACAACGGCAGCGGAGGTCTCTCTGTCATCTCCGTTCCCAGTCACGACGGTGAGGTCTGCCACAAACTGAGTCTGAAATAGGCTCTGGTGGAGGGGGCGAATGGTGTTCGGGGCTGCTGGGGGATAGAACAGCAAGTTCTGGGGCCTACGCGCGAGTAAAGGACTATGGCGTACAAAGCCGAAATTGGCTGAAAGAGAAAGAGGGGAGTGCGGGCACGTTCGTGGCTGTATACGCACCGGAATCCCTGACACCGCATTCAAAATGGACCTTAAGGCGGCTTGTAGGGCCTTAGCAGCAGCCTTGGATGTTCCTAAGTGCCCTGCCTTCTCTGTGCCTTCCTTCTGTCTCAGCGCCGTTGTACAACAAAGTAGCAGAGGATCTCTCGCGATCTCTTAAAGCGATGGGCTGCTTCTCCGTCGCAAACAAGACGGCCGCCGCCCTCAGCAAGCAAGTAAGCAGAGGCCCCCACATCCCTGCTGTTGCTCGCCTTCAACACAAAAGCAGTTACTCCCTGAAACTCATGCGCCGTGGCGCGCTTTGTCTGTATATATCACGTGTTATCCTATGCTTAGTGGATAACGCGTGGCGCCTCAGGCGTGGTGGTGTTGCAGTGCACTGCCAGTGACACCACTGCGTATCGCTGCACAACAGGCAGTGATCTGCTGAAGGAAAAGAAGCACCGCGATGCTCTGGGTGCCTTTAAGCGCCAATCATACCTGTGTCTGCGTCTTGCATGTCTCGCAGTTGCTGGGGTCCACAAAAAAAAGGGAGCAAGAGAAACAGAAGCAGCAGGCGGATGCAGCAGCAGCAGCAGCTGCTGCTGCCGCAGCGGCGGAAGCGGCCAGTGAGAGGGAACGACTGGCTAGAGAGGCAGAGCAGAGGGCTAAAGAAGAGGAGGACGCTCGTAAGCAGCTGCAAGACATGGATGTATCCCAGCTGCTTTGTTTGGCGGGACCCTCTCCTGCACAGATCAGGGAGCAGCGCGAACGCGAGGCGGCCATGTGGAGAGAGCAGCATGTGCTACAGCAACAGCAGCAACAACAAATAGAACAGCAACAGCCGCAGCAAGGCATGATGATGCAACAGCACATGCAGTACACACACCAAGAAGCCTGGAACAACTCGGAGGAGCAGCTATACGGTAAGTCCATGTCCCCGTGGCACGCGTAAGCATAGTATTTCGCTGTTCTTGCTGCCCTTTCTGCTTAAAATAGTAGACAGCACTGGCTGTTAAACTGAGGCCGCTCCCTCCACCCATACAGTGAAGCTCCGTAACCGGACGTCTGCTGGGGTTCCCCCATTGTCTGCGTGGTGCGGTATCACTGGCTACAAACAAACACGAATCCTAAAACGAGACGCATAGCCGCAAGAGTTCATAGCTAGATTGGCGCTTGCTTGTGTTGCAACAGAGTATCCTACGGGTGAGATTTTCCAACAAGCAGACAGGGAAAGCCTGCGGCAGCAAATCTTGATACAGGAGCAACGCATAGCACAGCTGCATCAGCAGCTAATGGAACATCAGGAAGCGAGGGAGCAGCGCCGACGACATGCAGCAGCCGCAGCTGGTGTGGCTGCAGCAGGGGGCCACTTCTCGCAGGGCGGAAGCAGCTCGCGACAGACTTCATATGCGGAGAGAAAGCTGGAGAGCTTTGCATCCCGTGACAGTCAACAGCTCACAGCTCGCCACGCTGGCAACTCTACAAAAGAGACCAGTAGGCAATGCTCGGATGAAAAGGCAAAGGTATGCAGATGCACACCTAGGTCAGGGGTTCTCATGTAGAAAGGAAGTGATACGCCCAAAGGCTATGTAAGAGGATAGGAGTGCACACCCAGTCACACACAAGGGTGCACACTACGAATATCAGACACTGGGGGAGGGGCAGGCAGAGGAACAAAGCAGCTTAGGGGATAGAGAAAACGGATGCTTGGATGAGGTGCTCCTTCAGTACATATGAAAGTAATACACACCTTTTCCCCTGCTTAGAATTAGTGTCAAGTATCCTGCTGGCCCTCCACATCTTCGTGGGCTTCCTGAGGGTTTCGAAGCTTTCTGATTCCCGTGCCTCTCCCTCACTCTGTCTCGATGCCGCAGAGAACCGATTTGACAGCTTACTTCTTTATGCCTCTCTGACTGCCATGTATGGATGCATGCTGCATTCGCATTGAATATTTGCTAGGTTATGCATTTCCTCGGTGTGCCTGTGATGTTGCTAATTGCCTTTTGTCGTCAGCCTCTGACAGTGGACGGCCTCTTGGCACAATACCTCGAAACGAACGGCTTGGAACCGACGCTTTTCCGTCGCATACGCAGTGGCGTCTACTTTTATGGACGCACCAAGTTGCTGATGAAGGTACAGAGGGGGGAGCTCAGCTGCATGGCTCTTCACCTTACTCACGAACAAAAGCAACATCAGCAGCAGAGGTTTGTATCGATCGATCGATTCCTTCGGGAGCAGGGTGTCGGCAGCAACAAGCCCTATGTCTCCTAAACGGCGCGTGCCAAAAGCAGAAATTAACGCTACACCCCTGTCTTTCTTCCATTCCCGTCATAAGGAAGCTAAAAGCTCGGGTTGGAGTATTGGTAGAGCACAAAGCAGCCGATAACAGTACCACACACGCATTTTCTTGCCCTCTTTGAGAGGGTGTCTGCATATTTGTTGGGATCGGTGGCGATAGGGCACGAAAGGGGGGTGCCCTTGAGTCTGCAAACGGTCCAGGCGAGGCCCCCTGCCCATGGTCCTATGGAAGAGTGTCTAATATTTTATGATACATTCAAGCCATCGAAAGATGGGGAGGAGGCAGCCTACCTTGCGTGTGAGCCGCCCCTTCATAAGCAGAGAAGCCCTCGTGCAGCCATCACCCTGAATGGGACCTGGTTACAGCAAGAGGGACCTCAAAGCCGTGAGAATGAACGGCTAGTGAAAGAATGCCCAGAAGAAGGCGAGTGAGGTAGGGGTCGGCATAATACTACTCCTGACAGGACCTCGTGGACACGAAGGGTGTAGAGCTATGGTGGAGAGAATGGAAGCCTCCAATGCTACACCTGCCCTCTCACTAAATAGGATTTCCTAATGGGAAATTCGATTTTAGCATTTGGTATATTCTGTTCCCATACAGGCGTCGCCATACGTTGAATGGAAGGCGCCACGAGATGGGAAGGGCACCGCCAATAATCTCGGGGGAATGACGGTGGGCAGAGTGCCGCTTGTGAGTGGGATAGACATAGCCCCTTTGACAGCTCCAGGGCTCTCTTTTCCGTACGCTTACATACCTTGCTCAGTCTTAACATTTTAAGCATGCAACAGAATGATTGAGATGCACAGGCACGGTACCCACCCGCGCCACGATCCTTCTTTCACGCTGAGACAACGAGCTTGCAGAAAAACCTTCCGCACGTGCGGAGAACAAGGCCACACAGAAGCCCTTACGAGGGGACAAGGGGGAATGAATGTAGCACCAGAAGAGCCATAAAACTGAAGTAAGCTGCTGAGCTTAGATCTTTAAACAGTGCCAATACAAGGCATCGCCAGCGACGGCGTTCAACGCACTAGACATCAGTGGAGCGCAAAGAAAGTGGCAAATACGTAGCAAGCATCGAAGACGGCAAGGAAGCACAAACTGCGTAGGAAGAACAATTACATAGAAGCAAGGGAGTAAAACAAATAGGCACATAACAGTAGGGCGCCATTGTCAATGGGCCGCCTGCAGAGACAGCGCAGCACAGGGCCAGGTACGAACACCTCCAACATGAGCGCACGCCTTCTGTGTTGCGCCTTCAATTCCAAGGGCCACATCCCCAACCTACAGGAGATGGTCAACCCCATCTGGAGCAGCTACGAAGCCGACGAAAGCATAGCATCGCTATTGCCTCTTCCGTTTACCCTGCACCCATTCGTCCCTGCGTCTAGAACCCTCAGCCGTCTCTGCACTGCAAAAGCACGGCCTTTCTATTTTAACGATGGACGCGGGGAAGTAAAGGGGTACCCAGTTCCCGTAGGCTGATGTAATGAAGAGGCCCCCACGGCCCAAGCAGGGCCCTATGAGACCCTGAGCAGTGCACGCCTAAAATCCACTTGTCGGTTCTGCCAACCGCAACTGCAACAACCCCAGCCACATGAACTAGAGAATACGGGTGCAAGTCAGCCCCCTATGCACCATGTGAACCAACTTTGCTTCGGAGTTTACCAGGCGGCCACAGGCTGGTGCCTCACTGTCAAAAAGCCGCAACCTCGGCCTAACCCCAACTTCACCTAAGCCTCGGAGAACCCTACACTTGGCGTCCTAGCCACCCCGGAACACTGGACAGCATAGTTTGCACTAATGCACACTGTAAACTGTCAACAAAATTCCAACACCCACCCGCAGCCCCTCGACCAAATACCGCCTTGCACGCCATAAGCCCTCATGGGTGCTCCTAGCCTGGCAACGTGTGGCACCTACGGGTAGGCCTTTAAGAGCCCCTCTACCCTACATTAGAGTGACTTCTTCCAAGACCTAAAACACTAACATTTGCATTAAGCCCCCAATCCGTACACAGAGGAACCAAAGGGATGCTGTGCAGGGCACCAAACCGGCCCAAATCTACCCATTACTGACTAGCTGCCACTTCTATCTGCTGTATTCTCTAATGGTGTCGAGTGACTAACACTGCTGCCTGCTTCCCCAGAGGGCCCTGCATGCGCTGCATACAAAGGACCCCAAGGGCGTCCGTGTGCTATTCCTAGCAAAGCGAAGCATAAAGAAGCTGTCGGTCTGAGTCTGACCCTAAGCACAGGACCCTGCAGGGCCTCTAATACCACTCAGCTAGTACAGATCATCTCCTCGCGTATACAAAAACCTCAGGGAAGGTGAGGGCTTTTCGCCCAGTGCCCCTCATAATGCTGCTCGGGTAATTGCCCTCTGAGGGTTGCAATAGGTGCAAACACATGGGTGCGTGATACACAACTGTATTCTAACTTCCCGCCAAGTATCACTCACTACTCCAGCAACAACTCAAGGTAGCGCCGCTGCAGCTGCTGACACTCCCTCGCTGAGCAGTGAACAACATCCTAGGGTAAAGCACTTGCTACTGCTGATGATGGTCCTGAGCTGCTGCTGGTGCTTTGCTGCTGCTGCTGCTGCCACCATCTGCCTCGCTCCTGCCTATTACGGCAGCAGCATATACTGCCTGCCATCGCCGCCTCTCCCGCCGGTGCCTCTTCTCTGCCTCAACTTAGAATACGCTGCATCTTGCAGCGGTAGATAAGTGGATATATGTGTTTGTATAGAACCTCCTTCGCTGGCCTAGTGGGGGCTTCCTGAGTCTAAAGCTGTCGCTACTCCTACAACCGATCTTCCTGTCCGCTCTTATTCTTTCTCCCCTCTTTATATATATATATATGTATCTTTATTCATAGCTTCAAGCTCAGCCTTACTGATGCCGCTGCTGCTGCCGCTACTATGCAGCTGCTGAAGCCACTACTGCTGGTATCTTTGCTATTGCAGCGGGTGAAAGCTCTGCAGATAACCGGTGAGATAGAACAGCCCTACCATGGGAACGAGGGGTGCCCCTCGATGATCTTCCACTCTCGTCGTATTGTCGACTGCGCTTCTTCTGCTATGACTGCACTTAGTATGGCTGGGATCTTGGCTGAGCCTTCGCCACCCGTGCCCTCATGGCTCCCTGCACATCGTACGGATCTGCGATTTGAGGCTGTTCTGTCGCGCCGGGTTGGTGCGCGTAGACATCCTGGGCACCCCCTGCAACCACGTAGCCGTATCCTTGGGGAACATACATTCCTCCGGAGGCCCCTGCATACGCAAGCTGCTGCTGAGGCTCTGCTACGGGATAGTAGGCTCCGCCGTAAGCGCTCGGCGCTACTGCTGCGGCGGCTGCCGGCGCAGCAGCAACCGCTGCAGGCGCAGCGGCAACCGCTGCATGCGGGAATACTGAATAGGGATCTTGAAGAGGGCCTCGTCCGGGGCCCCCTGCAGCCGCAACGGGGTGCATAGCCATCTCAAATGGAACGAATTCCATGGCAGGCCGCATGGATCTCATCATCATCCCGCCTTGAGCGCCAGGAGGAGGCCGTCGGGGAGCTGCACATTCCACGCAGCTTCTACACGAAGCACTGCGCTAAAATGCCAGGAAACCTGCCGCTCTGCACGGAGGGTGTGCGCGTTTAAACTGAGAAAAGATACGCGTGGCAGTCCTACAATCAACAACGAAAAGGACTTACGGGGTCTCCCGCCTCCGCTAGCTGCCTCGGCTTCTTTTTGGTTCTTCATTTCCTCTCTGCACCGCACGACAAGAAAACCCCCCGCAAAAGCGCAGAGTCTAGGCAGTTCCGCGAACACGCGAAAGCACCCTCCTGGCAAGAAACCTTTCTCACCTACAACTTCCCACGACCCAACACACGCCACACACACATCTAGGAGGCGCCGAGCGAGTGACCCCCCTGCCCCTCCCTTCCCTGTCACTCCCTCCTCCCTTCCCTGTCACTCCCTCCTCCCTTCCTGTCACTCCCTCCTCCCTTCCTGTCACTCCCCCGCCCCTTGTACACGGCAAAAACTCGCAAGCAAACAAAGCCATGGCCAGTGGACAAGGCGCACAACCCCCACTGGAAAATGCCGAAGCGGAGACGTAAGAGGCTGCACGCAAGCGCCGCCGCTTCGAGGCCACATAAAGGCCTTTCCCCCTCTTTCGCCTTGCAGGAAGAGGCACGAGAACTCACTTATCGACCGCCTTCTTGACCTCGATCACGACGTCTCCGAGTTGGTGGTGCCCGACGGCCATCTTGGCAGAGTGCGGGAAGGAGAAGACTAGGAAGCCAAAGCCCCGCATTCTTCCCGTCATCTTATCGTAGAAGAAATCAACGCGTCTGACCATTCCAAACCTCTTTGAAAAGAAGGCATGGATGTCTTCTGCGCAAAAGACAGCACGCCACTCTCCAGAGGCTCGCTCTGAGGGCGACAAGAATTCCGTCGCGCGCGCTACTTCTACTACGTGTGAGCGGAGGAGCTGCACACAACTCAGCCTCCAACCCCACATCCAAGCTTCCAAGCGCCCACCTGTCGTCATTGTAGGGGGGATGCCTCCAATAAAGACCTTGCACTCCTTTTCTTCGGGATCGTCCGAGGGAGGTGCTGAAGAAGGGACTACAGCTCCTGGCGCAGCAGCAGCTGCTGCTGCTGCCCCTCCTTCCGTGGTGCCTGCGCCTTCCTGCCGCTGCGGCGAGGAACCCCCCGGGGGCCCCCCCCCGCGTGGCGGCAAGCCAATGGGCCCTCTTGATCCCGGGTAGAACGTCGTACGTGGCACTGCTCTGCGCAGCTCGACCTGACACACGCAAAAAAGGCAGCATCACACGCACGCCTCTGCAAAAATGACACACGCAATAAACGGCCGAGGGGCGAGAGACCCCTGTGCGCAATGCAACAGCGCCACAGCAGGAAATGACTCCGATCTTCGACCCTGTCCACCCTCTTTTCCTGTCTGCACGCACCTCGTTCCCACCAATGGTATGGGGCCCCATGCAGTATGCTCGGAGGGTTTCTTTCTCGGTGTTGAATGTAACAAAGCCAAAACAGCGGCTCCGATTGAACTTCTTGTCAAACATAACGACGGCACTGCGCACCTGCACAGATCTCAGAAAGGCCCGAACACCTAAAGCTCCCAAAAAGAAGAGGGAAGGAAGGGAGGGAAAGATGAGAGGGAAGCCAGCCATGAGCTCCGATGCGGGGAGGGGTGGTGTGCCCTCGCCATGCAGACGACGAAGCAGAGGGCTCCGCGGCCGGAATATGTGCTGCACGTTCGAAACTAGCGCTGCTGATGTGTGGCAGTGCGTGCGAACGAACGCCTCAGCAGCCCCTTCAGGCAGCAGGCCTGTAAGGATTTGTGTCTGTGGTGGCAAGAAGGCGGAGCTCCTCCTCTAGCTCTTGTTTTTTGGCCTTACCGCGCCGTATTGTTTGAAGTAGTCCTCCAGTTCCGCTTCGGTTGTGCTCGGGTTAAGGCCCCCCACGAAAAGCTTGCAGACGTCAACAGGCTCTCTCTCGAGGATGGGGGGGGGCATACCTGGACCTCCAGGGGCGAATCCGGGAGCAAGCACAAGCGGCACAGGGCCCAAGGGGGCCCCTGGGGGGGCCCCTGCCATCGGCGGAAAGGCCCCCGGCACCAAAGTGGCGCCAGGGGGCAAGGCTGCTCCATCGGGGCGACTGTATGGCACGGGGACGAACATCCTGAGGCTCGCTGACAGTAGGGGGGGTGCGGGGGGGGTGGCGCGCGCTGTGCGAGAAAAGGGGGGCACAGGTTCCTGCTCTTTTCGGCCTATCACGGACGCAGAGAGAAGAAGAGAACAACAAGTATAATCAAGGGGGATGGCGCTCTTGAGCTGCACGAAAGCGCTTCTTCCGCCTGCTGCTGCAGACTCCGCGTTGCTTTCGGCTCGGCGGGGGCCTGGGGTACGCGGAGTGAAGGCAGTTGTTGCGAGCGTCTAGGCCTTTCCAGTGTGAGCACCAAAGCGGCAGCTGCAAATACAATAATAGCAACTGCAGGGGCAGGACCAGTAGCGCCCTGCACCTTGCAGGCACCACAGTAGCACTGGGTAAAAGACGCTGCGACTACCGAAACGCCCGTGGAGATGCCGCAGCACCAAACAACGAGACACCTAGGAAACAATAGAGCTCTATCAATACTCTGAAAGGCCCAAATACACAAACAAACAAGCGAGTCTCGCTAGGAGGGCCCCTACCCCTCCCCGGCTCCTCTAACGTCTGCTACGCTGTATGGAATGCGTGGCTTTGCAGGGGCCGCATGCGCAGCCGTGGCTTTGCGGGAGCCGCAGCTACGGTCGTTGCAGATTCGCACATCTGGATGATAGGCCCTCGTTTTCCTGGGGATTAAATACATAAATGACTGCTCTTTCAATGGGCGCAGAGTTAAGAGCAGCAACACCAGCCGCCACGGCAACGGCGGCCCTTCCCCCCCCGCCCTGCGCGATTTTTTCTCAGCACCAGTCGTGTAACCGCACATTCTCCGGCTCACGCCATCAGGGAGTGCTGCGGAGGTCCTAGGGATCTTAAAGGACGCCTGGCCAGGCGGATGAGTGGCAGCCGCAGAGGCCTTTCCGTCGACACGCACAGACTACGGAGCGCCAGGGCTTTGGAATGTGCGCTCGGCTGCTGCAAGCGACCAAAGCCGCTCGCTTTGACGACTGCCGCAGCAGCACACTGAATGCGGCAGTCACGCCAAGGGGAGCGTCGGCGACGTTTCAGGGGTATCGCCTGAGCAAAACAGGCGCGCCTCTTAAGGGGCCGGGGGGGAAGCGGCAACGGCAGCGCTGCTACGATGGAAGGCGAACGCCACGGAGGCAGTAGCAGCCGTGGCAGCCATGCGAGCAGCAGTCGCGACCCTGTATGTAGCCGGCTCGGACGCTTGGAGAAGGACTGTTCAACTCGCCAGGCGTTCCGCAGCAGCAGGACAGGCTGGGATGTCAAGCCGGAGCAGTCAGTGACTTCTGCTATGAATTACACGCGCTGGCGCAGCCGGAGTTCAGACAGGGGCTTCTCAGCAGCAGCAGCAGCCTCTGCCGCCTCCTCCAAGCACCTGAAGGACGAGAAGGGCTCGTTTTCCTCGGCTGCCGAGTTGGGAGCTGCTGCAGCAGCAAGAGCAGTAGCGGACGCTGCAGCAAGCGCTGCGGGTAAGGCAGACAAGGTGAAGCGCAGCAGGCCTGACTCGACGAGTGGCACGAGGAGGCGTCGCGCGGAGGATCCGGGAACCTTTGAATGGGGTCGTAAAGAAGTTGAAGCAGATGACAAGGACAAGAAGAATCACCACAAACCGGGTAGGGTGGCTCCTGCAGAATAGCCTGCTGCTGACGTTGCTGCAGTCGTTGCAGCGTTTCCTGCGTCGTCTCTTTATGCGCCGCTGCTGCTGATGGTCCTGCTGCATTTCTGGGTGGTGTGCTCTCTACGTGTGTTGTTGTGCAGCGCTGAAACCAACCTTTGAGCCGTCCGGCCTGCTCGCTGAAGACTCTGGAGATCCTGCTGCCACTTTAGAAAAGAACGGCGTCCAACTCAAGGTAGAAAACAAGCATAGGCCACTGCGGCTTCAGGAGTGCTGTGCAGGTGCAGCAGAATGGCAGCGGCACTCTGCCGCAGAGGTTCCGTACGGAGAAAAACAGTTGGAGCTTCTTTGTGGTCAGAGCACGTGTGCGCTCTTCACACGTGGCGCTTAGCAGCCGCTTTCGGATGTTTCTGTTGCTGCGCACGCAGCATGCGCCTCCTGCAGATGAACAGCTGCCGGACAAGAAGTGGCGTTTGTATCAGTTCAAGAAGAAGCACAGGAAAAGTGTCGCCTCGGCTGACGAGGAGCCCACAAGTCCGTTTTGTGTTCCCTGCAGAGCTTGGTACTACCTCTTGTTGCCTCTGCATGTGCGAAGGGCTGATGTCGCGCTAAGTGTTTTAAGGCCTCTATCTCGACTCTATTTGCACTCCCTTGCCACCTGGCTGCGTCTTCTGCCGAGAGATACAAGGCAGCAGAAAAGGCCGCCTTGTATCTCTCGGCAGAAGACGCCTCTTAGAAAGGACTTTTAGCATTCCGTAGCTCCTAGTTAGAAGAGCTGCAAGAGCTGCGTTCCCTTCAGCTGTTTTTCACGCCCTTCACTTGGCCTTTGCCTTCTTCTGCCCTGCATGCGCGTCGCAGAAGTCATGCACGTCCATAGGCGCTCGTGGTTTCTGTTTGGAAAGGATTCTCGGGTAGCGGATGTCCTACTGCTGCATCCGACAGTATCGAAGCAGCACGCAGTGCTGCAGTTCAGGAAGCGGTTCGACGCCGTCATGTAAGCGGAGGCTGTTTCAGGAGCTGGTTGCATGGAACCTGCTTTCTTCCTTCCTCGCTTGTGCTTTTTTCTTGCCCTGCAAAATAGTCGGCCTCCTTGCGAGAAAAGCTGACGCTGCCAGTCTGGCGCGCATGCTAAGCGCTCGTGTCTGTGCGTGTGTGCGTGGGGTTGGTTGCGTGCGACTACTTGGGGTGGATATGCAGAAACGTCTGCACTCGTGTAGAATATTTCTCTGTGTGATTCTCTCCGCCCTAAGGTCGCCTCCCCTGCCAAGGCGTCCTCTCGGCACACAGCTGAGAGTTTGAATCCTCTCAGAGGACAAGGGTCCTGCTGCATCTCTTTCTGGCGCTTCTGCTGCGCTGTTTCTGCTGCAGTCCTTACATCATCGACTTGGAGAGTACCAACGGCAGTTTCCTGAATGATGAACGCATTGATTCCGCGAGATACATTGAACTGCGGTAAAAATCGCAAACTCTTAACTTCAAGCTCGCAACCTTCTGTTTGAAGCAGGTCGAAGCCAGAGCAGCCACGCACACGGGCCTGGCAGTAATGGAGAACAGCCGCCGACACCGTGTGCTGTTGCTCGCGCTGCTCTTTTCATGAGGTCCGTCGCGGCTTTCGTGCTTGTTGCTGCTGCTGCAGGGAGGGAGACACTCTGCGCTTCGGGAAAAGCACACGCGAGTTTGTGCTGCTGCACAGCGGCAGCGTCGATGTGCAGATGACGTATGAGGAGTTTCTCCAGCAGAGGGACTCAGAAAAGCAGCAGCAGCCGCAGCACGCGCGACAGGCATAGGGCCTCCTGCAGCACTAGCTTTTCGGATACGATGTGTTTCCCCCCAGCAGCGGCATCGTATATGTGACCAGCATGCTGCTGCCCCTGCGAGGCGGTGTTTGGCCGTCACCCAAGTGCGTGCCTGACTGTGGAGTCGCTTGCTGGCAGATAGCCGCAGAGCTGCCGGCTAGGCGCTGGCTGCACCATCAGCTGCCGCTGCGGATGTCTTGAGTGGGAACTCTTCTCTGCGCGTGCTTTTGGTTTGACCACACGGTAGACGCACAGCACGGAGTGACAAGCGGAAAGTAGCCGCATCAGTAGGAGCACTAACCGTGGGAAACTCATGACTAGCAGCAGCCATAGTTGCACGCCAAGTGCACATAGACACGCGGCACTGGTCTCCGGCTAATTGGCCGTGGGCGGCTCGCAGCCCTAAGAGAGGCGTCGCCGTCTGCTCCTCACGGCGCCACTTAGCTATCAAAAAACCCCCTTCTTCGCTTGGTGCAGTAGGAGCCACAACTAAGACAACGGGAAAGGCATGGGGTCACCACCGTCAGCAGTAGCCGCTGCTGCTACATTTGAAAACCAAGACGCGGCCATATGCCGCTACAGCGAAAGCTCCAGGCGGTAGCCTAGTATAGCGACACTGCTGCAGGTGCAACTCCCTGTTGCCGCCAGCACCATCATTTCTGCGGCTTTTCGGTGTACGTTCACCCTACAAGGGCTGCAGGAGTTTCTTTAAGACACGGCGACCGCAAACATGGCACTGCAGGACGGTCGCCGATGTAGGCCCCCAGCATTCCTGAAGGCAAAGAAGCTTCACACATCTAGTGTTTTTCCTGCAACTTGAGCACTAACGACTGCAGCAGCAGCGGAAGCATCGTTAGTTAGTGGGCTACGTACCTTGCATGCCGTATGGCCGCAGATGACAGAACGCAGCAGCTGCCCTGCACCGGCACAGATGCGACATGCCGACACCCCCAACGTGCCGTGTTTCTCTTCGGGCTGCTGCGGTCTGTGATCGTGCTGCACTTGTTGCTCTTGCTGTTGGTCCTGCCGATTTGATGCGGGTGCTGCTGCTGGCAGTGAGTCTCCTAGCGGCAAGACAGTGCCTTCTTCAGCTTCCGCTGCGGCACCGAGTGACGCCTCCTGCGCCTGCTGCTCCTGCTTCTGCCGTTGTTGTCGTTGCTCTGAAAGTTGGGGCACTGCAGTTTGCCTGAGGATGGCATCTGTTTTATCACCAATCAAGTGGCCAAGGGCATCAGAAAATGGAGGGCCTATATACGTCTCTGCTATGCGCCGCAGTATTTCAGCGCGGCGCTGCAGCACCCCTAGCAACACGTGCCACCTCTCCTGCTGCTCGTGCTGTTGCCACTGCTGGTCCGAAGCAGCAGCGACGGGAGGAAGAAGAAGCAGGGCATCGCACATGGCTTCCATTATGGTTCTATACTGACGAGCCGCTCCCAGTGTGCTTACCCTCTTGGTGCCGCTGCTGTCATGCGGTCCTCTTTGCTGCTGTGCCGGGTGATGCGGCCTCTCTACGGCAGAGATCTGCTTCAGGAGGCTGCAGAAGGCCGGGAACTCTTCTCCCAGTTCCTCCTTGAGGCTCCGGAGCAGCTGCCTACCAGTGTCTCGTGCTAACTCTTTGCTGCTGCTGCTGTTGCTACTGCTGCTACTGTTGCTACTGCTACTGCTGCTGCTGCTGCACCGGGTAGAACTTTCGGCACATGCCTCATCGTTTGGGCTGGAGTCGCTGGCCTGCCGCTGGGGGGGGGCGTGTAGCACAGGCATCAGCTGCTGCTGGCGCTGTTGTTCTGGTGGTGAAGCAGCAGCTTTCGCTGCTGCTGTGGGAGGACCGCCATCGGGAGCTTTCGCACCAGGGCCAAATCCAATGACGGCATTCGTTAGTGACACAAGGGATGCTGAGGCTGCGCCTTTTGCCTGTGAGAACAACGCCCGCTTTTTGAGGGGCCGAGAGCCCTGTAACACGAGCAGCCGACGGCTTGAGGCTGCAGCGACTTGAGATTCCGCAGTCTCGCAGCTGTTGGTGCTGCGGATGGATGCACCGACATCAGCGTGGTCCTTCTCATGCACGCTAGTAGTACTCTGCTGTGCCGCTTGCTGAGAAGCAAGGGGGCATCCAGCAGCCGCACGAGCACCTCCAGTACTACCATTACCTGCAACGGCCGCACCAAGAGCAGCGCTTGGCTGCCGCCTTGTTGCTGCGGCAAATGATCCTAAGGCTTGCAGGGACAGAGGTATACCCCCCGTCTCTTCCAGATCGTCCCAAGAAAATGCAGCCGCCGGCAGCGGTACGCCGGCCTCCCTTAACGTCCTGGAGCTTGCATCATCCTTCAAGGATGCAGGAAGAGCAGCAAAGAAGTCTTTAGCTACATTCACTGCTGCGCGCAACTCCAGAGGGCGCGAGAGTGACGCTCGCAGCCAAGCTGAGAGGTCTCGTTGCAGAACATTCTGCGCGAATCTGAGCGACACAAAACATGAGGGCGACTAGAGTTGCAGCATGCATTCTGCTGTTGCGAGGCTGGTCGTCATAGGGGAATGTGTACACACACATACACACGCAGGAGAAATAGCATAAGGCATGTTCCGCCACAGAAGTCCGACGAAAGGCAGAATAAGGAAAACTGGGAGGCACAGGAAGGCGGGGTAAAGGCAGCAGCATACAGAACGGCATTCATTAGGGACTAAACTCACCGCGCGTCTGCTAGGACTACAAGCCCAAAGTCTTTGTTGTGGCGACAAATGCGCCCTGCTGCCTAAAGGAGCCAACAGCAACCGCAAGGAAAACGGCTCCTGCTACATGGACTTGAAAAGGCTTCGCTAACCCCCCACGGCAGATCGCGGGAAAAAACGCACCGCACAACAGAACCACAGCAAGAACAGTGCCACCACGGCTACCTGCACCCCAACAGCTGAAGCGATAGTGGCAGCGGCAAAAAAGAGGCGAGTGAGTGTGTCTCCTGACCTGATTGACAGCTCGCATTGCTTCTTGCCGATACCATTCGCTGCCTGAAGGGCAAGCCAAATTTGCGTCTGCGGCCACCCGCTGTATATGGAGGCAACACACGCACAAAGTAGAGGCGAAAAGATCTCTCCCCATCAACCGCAAGACTAACCAATGACGGAAATACGGATGAAAAAAACGCAACAGACTGGCCAGAGCGATACAGGTAGAAGCTTAGGGCTAGGAACACGGGAGGGTTGTGAGACCTGCGAGAGGCGTATGGATATGTATACATGTGCAGGTATAAGAATAAGTGCGTATATGCGTATTTTGAAAATGTGTGTGTGTGTCTGTGTGTGTGTGTGTCTGTGTGTGTGTGTGTGTGTGTGTGTGTCTGCATGTGTATGTGCGTATGTGTCTGTGTGTGTGTCTGCGCGTGTGTGTGTCTGTGTGTGTGTCTGTGTGCGTACGTCTGTATGTATATTGACACGTATATGTGCTTGCATATGTATACATGTATATGCGTGTGAATGTGCATCTTTAATGTCACCTGCTCGTCTAAAAAGAGCCGCTTAAGCTGCACCCGCGGGTCCTTGAGGGAGGCGTACGGGACACCACACACTACCACACATCTGCAGTAGCTGTCCCCTATGTCTAAGCCTGAGGAAGCCCATACGTCAAGCAATGAAAACGCTTGCAGGAAGCGTGACAGCAGCTTTTCGCAAGTGGCGGCGGCAAAGGGATGCGTGCGGGGCGTTGCATGCCTTTTGCCGCATGCAGGAGAACCCAAAGACACGCGTTTGCATAGGTGCACAGCAAGCCGCTCCAGGCTGCTGCACGGGAGTTAGCTACCCCTTGCACCTACCCTCGGCAATCTTGCCCTTGCAGACAGCGAGTAGGACGGCCCCAGTGGTCTGGCTTTGCTGCAGCGCTGTTGATTTGCGCTGGGCAAGCGCCGCCGTGTCCTGATCGATCTGTTGCTTGAACTGTTGCAACACAAGCGGCAAGTCTGCAGCTCGCCGAGGCTCTTTGTAGACCGCCTTGCTGGCCTTGATCGCGGAGAACCAGCTGCTGCCGGCACCTTTGCACAAGAAATCGTAGAGTGTATCCAGGTGTGAGTACGAGGACAGGAAGACAAGGACCCCGCCAAAAACTCCCCGGCACAAGCGGGCAAGAGTACACGATAAAGCACTCAGATACTCCACACTCTCTCGATCCTACGAGGACACACGCACGCAGAAGCAGCCGCGAGTCGGTCCTAAAAAGTCGGCGAGCGCTGCAGTGGTTGGATGCACTGGTGCTGGCTAAGTAGGCCTCCGGAGCTGTCATTATAGGGATGGAGCCATCCACACAGGTGCAAGAAGGAGCTGGCGGGCTTGGTGAGAATACCTTATAGACGGCAAGAAGTTGATGGCCAGCACCTCCACTGTCTCCTTCTGCCTCGTGCATCTGCCATTTGTGATTCTTGCAGCAGTCTGCTGCCGCCCGTGTGGGGTTCGCAGAGGTGAGCAGGATGCCCTTGACTTGCTGAGGTCCTGCAAAGTGCTCGCTTTCAAAGAAATGAGGTATCCGAAAAGAAGCCGACCGCATGCGAGCGGCTAAAGGCTCAAGGGGGGCCAAGGTTCCTGAGGGTAGACGCACCACACAAGCCTTGCACAGGAACGCCCTAAACTTTTCTGCGTGCCTTTTGCAAGCACGCTACAGAACGGAAGCTAGAGATATGCCGGAGTTCGAGCGGCCCTTGAAGGAGCCAGGCAGATAAAGCAGCAGCACGTAGCGGCAAGTTGCACGGAGGAGCAAGCCCCCAGCAGCGGCAGTGACAGAAGGAGCCTCAGAGCTGCAGCCGCAGCAAGAGAAGCAGCAGTAACGTCCACAACAGTGAGGCTCGGCAGGTGCCCATACCTGAGGCGAAGAGGACAGAACGGACTTGGCGTGAGGCAAGGGCAGCGAAGGTGGGAGCCGGTGACAGGCACAGCACGGTTAGAGCCCTAGAAGAGAGAGGACATACACAAGCGGAGGCACCCAGCGGTCTGCTGACGACTGCAGTTACGCCAAAGCAAAGGGTAGGGATCAAGGGGGAAAGCGAAGGGCAAAGACGCCAGAAAGACGAATCTAGGACAAGGACAATTTGGAAAGCGACGTCTGAATTGGGATATGGTCTAAGTCATTCGCGGACTTCGCTTTACAGCCCTCCGACTGTGTATGCATTCTGGATTCCTCGTGGCCCTCAGAAGTTTCGTCTTCTTGGCTCAACTTGAAATGCAGCGCATCTGGGTGTACGTACACCCGGAATAAATCTTCATGGGCCGCCGTTGTGTCACCAAAGAGAATCTGCGGCACCGTAGCAGCAGAAAGAACACCTGCGGCGCCTGCTGCTCCGCCGTGGATGCCGCGCGGCGAGTGCCAGCGGTGTCACAGGGGCGGACGTGGAAGCGGCTAGGCAACTGCTGCTGCAGCGGGACGGAGAGCAGTCAGCTAGACAGCATCGAAAGGAAGGCACACGTTGCAGGAAGGGCCCTTGCCACTTCCACCCCAACATGAAAGAGCACAGCATAGGCAAACAGCGCATAAGCAGCCACAGGGAAATCCGGGAAGTCTCTGACGTTCGCTGCACTCTTGAGGAGCTGAAGGCTGGAGGCCGCCTCCAAAAGAGGACTTCTGCCTTCATCCGCTGTAGGGGACCGCCGTTCGAGCAACTCGATGCTTCTGAAGAGAGGACACACACACCACTGGGCGCGAAGCGGTCAAGAATTATCAGCCAGGCTCCGAAACTTGCACAGCTACCAAAGCAGCTGACTTGCAAATACATACATGCATTGATATATATACATATATACATGGATACAAGGCTGTTGCACCGCCTACACTGCCAGCGCTACTCCAACACACCTGTCAAGCGTCTGTCTAAGGCCTTCTCGACTTTCGAACCCCAGAAACCCCTGGATGGCTGTCGGCCCATCAGGATCTAATTGTGGTTTGATCTGCTGCTTGCGAGCTCCACAACTCCCCGATGATCTCAGGGGGCCCCCTACGGCGCGTACTGCAGGAGCAAATGCGTCAAGGGGCAGAAGGCGATGAGGAGTTGAGAGCTGCGGTGTCGGCGGATGCAATTCCAGCTGCACCCATAGCAAAGGCAGCAGTAGCAGCACTGAGGCAAAGAGCAGCAGCAGCAACAACAGAGTGAAAGCAGGAGAGAAGGCACCGAGGGCGACGCTGTGGTGCAAAGCAGACGCGTGAAGGCATGAGATCAAGGACTCTTTTAAAGCAGAGGCAGGCAGGCAGGCATGCTTGTCTCTATGTACAGGAAAAGGACAAGGCAGTCCCAAGGAACTGGCATTGAGTGCATGCACGAGCACCACCCTTAAAAGGCGTCTAAGTCTTGCGGTTTGTCTGGCACTCGCCCTGAGGCTTCGACACCTACCTGTGCTAGCCACTTGTCAAGTAACTGCAGGCTTTCACCAAGTGTATATACTGCAGCAGGAGTCGGTAGGGGGGGGTCAGCCTCGCCTTGTGGTTCTGGTTCATCGCACAGGAGGGCCGCTACTTGCTGTAAGGCTGTCAGGCAACGCCCTACGTCAACTTGCCGAAGGGTAAAGGAGCAGGCGTTCTCTGCTACCTGAGTAGCAGTAGCAGCAGCACCACTACCGCTACCACCATCAAACATAGCACCCCACCGATACGCAGCTGTAGAGTCTACTGCGGAAAGGCCCCGCTGAGAATGCTTCAAAGAGCGTGCTCGCAGACGCCATTACTTTTTCACCTCTCCCTCAGCCCCCCCATGGTTGCTAGCTACTTCTCTCTCTGGGGTGTTTGCTGCGTGGAGGGCAGGGGAGTGCTACGTGTCTTTCTCTAGGCGTCGCGTAAGTGCAAAAGTACTCCCTCTATATTATGTGCCTCATCAATGATCACGAGGGCCTGCTTGAGCGTCTCAGGGCTGAGAAGGGCACTTTGTCCCTCCAAATCCATGAGATAGTTGTATGGCAGCATTACCACCTCGCAACGACTCTGCATATCGCGCATCTGGTAGTAAGGACAGAAGAGTTCAGGGCCCTGTGTCGCATGCACAATAGCGACAGAAAGCGCCCAACCGTGAGGCCTCCTCCCCAGCGCACTACGGAAATGCTGCTGGATCGCCATCCATCCAGCCGCCTCCACGTTAACTAACAGACAGAGACATATCGCTTCCAGCGCAGAAGAGTACCGCGTGGTGTGAAAGGCGCTCTGCAGCGGTACAATTCTCGCTGTGCATCATGCATGAACCATGAACCGAATGCGGCTGCCAGTAAGGAGGCGCGCACTCGCGACTGGCGGGGGAACCGACACCACCGTCAAGCCCCTCAACGACTGCGTAGCACAGTTTGCCGGCTACCCCCGCATCTACGGGACCTTTCCTTCGCTACCTTCTGCAAAGAAAGGCAAAAAGCCCAGCGTTCTGCATGCACCTACGGTGATGGCAAGCGACCTGAGTTCTTCAATGTCTAAGCCGCCCTCCAAAAAGAGTCGCTGCGAGATGGCATCGCGGTTGCGGATGAACCCGCTGTAGTATGCACACGCCTACATCATAATTCACGCACAAGCAAGACGCAATGCATCGTCCGGTGCAGTGGTAGAGGCTGCAGGAGCATCCAGGTCCCTTGCAGCAGCTCTTGCAGCGGCGGCAACAGCGGCAAGACGCGTGTTCACAGCTGGGGTTGCAGCTGCACTACAAACGGTAGCAGGAACGAGTGGAGAAGGGAAGTCGAACATCTCTAGAAGCAGAAACTTCTGCAACATACTTGCGCCTTCACTTTTTGCTTGCAGCTCCTCGCCAGAGACGCCCCCTTCAGATGTTTCAGAGAGGCGTTGACGCAGAGATGCTCGCGCGACCCCAACACGCACACGCGGACTCCTCCTGGACGGCCACCGGCTGTCGCAGCTATCCCTGCTGCTGCTTCTGTTACTGGTTCTACCTTTGCATGCGGTGCTGGCGTAGATTCCTCCTTTGTGGAACTTGCTGCCGAAGTCACTGCAGGGGGGCCAGCACTTGGGAGCACGGGTGCCAGCGCACCCCACCCCACAACGGAGGACGGTTTTTTCCTCTCGCGGACTTGTGATTGCTGTTGCTGAGACTGCGCCTGCTGCTGCCGCTGCTGCAGGAAGCTACCTTGCGTTGGGGGTACTGAGTAGGAAGTCTTGCGGAGTTCGGCTATAACGTGCTGCAGCTGTCCGTGCGTCCTTGAGGCATACACGATTTTCCCAACCAGGGGGCCCTGGAGTTGTTGCGGCTGCTGTGGGGAGTTCCACGCTGCTTCCGTCGCCTCCGACAGCGGGGGCTTTGCGACCTTGCGAAGCAGCAGCTGCTGCTGCTGCAGCGAGTGCTGCTGCTGTTGGACCGCCAGTGTGGCAGTGAGGAGGCAGAGAGTCTTTCCGGTGCCGGTGGGGCTTTCTAGCAGCGCATGTTCGCCCTTGAGGCAGGCCTCTACGGCTTTCGTCATCAGGAGCTGCTGAGAAGTGTAGGGACTGAAGGGAAATGACACAGGGACGCCACACAGGCGTCCTTCCCACCTCTGGCAACCCACCGGCGTGCTGACTACACCGGAGGCCGCCTTCGCATCTGAAGGACGCAAAGCCACGCGGACTGAAGTGGCTAGGCTCTCTACCTGTGCAGATGCCTCTGCAGGAGCAATGGAGCCGTTTTCAGTCCGCCTAGCGGGAGGAGACACTGCCGCGGCAGTGGCGGGGGCCTCGGAGGCCTCATCGGGCTTCTTGGACACCTGCCGCCTCAGCGCAGCCGCTGCTGCTGCAGCCAAAGACCAGGGAGTCATAAGGGTCGGGGGGAGGGGAAGGGCATCCGTCCTGTTGAAAGCGACTTGGAGGCCGCTTTGCAGGGTCCCCTCCCCTATAGAGAGCTGCCAGGGGGAGCTTGGCTATTGCTGGGAAGAAGATGGCGGCAGCGACGGAAAGAAGGCGACGAAGGAAGCATTGCAACAGGCAGCAAGGAGACCCCTGCAGGGTGTGGAAGCGCAGTTGCTTCGGCGTCCCAACTCCCCCCCCCGAGGAAGGACGGGTCTCGCGAAAAATAATACGCCGCTTATACCCGCAGCCAAGCTGAAACAGGCGGCACCTAGCAAGAGTTGATGCAAATTCTTCAAAATTCCGTCATCGATGCATCCCACAGAAGTCACCACAAACATTTCAGGGACGGCGGCCCCTCCTCGCCGATGAGCCACGCTCGGGGCCCCTCGGCGCAGAACCTTCCCCCCGAAGCCAGACACAACCTACGCAAGGAAGGCAGTCTCTATGGTGCTATGAATAAGCCGCAACTTCACTACTAGAGTGAAGCCATGGACCAATCGCCGTTGATTTATGGGCGTGCTGCCTCAGGATCGGCAGCGGAAGGGTGCGATGAACGGCTGTACACCTTTCCTAGATCCTACCAATAATTTTGCATGCTTTCATCCCAGGGAGTTTCGAAGGCTCATACCTGCACGCAGGGAATCAAGGCAAACACAGGGAAGACTGACGAAGGGGCACACAAATAGAGAGCATATGCGCGAACCAGAAGGCGGTAGGTAGGGACTGAAATAGCGACAAACCTATTCAGTCCTGGTTATGCCGTCTGCATTTGCTTACCGCAAAACGCCCTTCAGGAGTCTCGTACATGCGGTAGCCGCATTTGAGGTCAGCGGAGGGTCCTGGGCACACGACGCTGGTGCTACCGCTTCTCCGTGCGTTTAGAGTGGCGGCCTTCCTTTCAATCACCTTGAAGAAGGACCCAGACACGGCTGTGTGGATTCGTGTATGACTGTGTCTGACGGTTACGGCTGTCTCCTTCCTGCGCTCTGAATATTTCAGTCCACCCTATACACCGAGCCTTAGAGGGGTTTTCTGCACCCCGCCCTTCTCTGATAGGTAAAGAGCCCTCTGTAGACTCCAGAGCAGCTAAACCTTAAAGCGCAAAGGGCTCACAAACGTCAAAAGGCCTAGGGATGCAACTGTTTTCACTGCCCTATCCTGAAGGGGACGGGCGATGTAGCGGGACATAGGCTACACTTAGACACGTTCTGCTATGCCATATATTTGAACTCAATTATTCTTGTCTCCTTTTGTATGCCGTTGCTTGGAGTGACGACTTGGCTCAAAATGTTGAGAGTCAGTGCTGTCAGCGCTAGCGTTAAATGCTGAATGCAACTAACTTTGAGTGCTCGGAGTGCTTCAAGAGTGCCGTAACTTTCACCCTGGCTGTCGCATTCTCTTCGTGTGAAGGATTTGAGGAAAGCCGTCAAAGGGAGAAGAGAGTTTGCTTGGATAACACACAAGCAATGCTAGTAGGTTGGCATTGAACCTGGAATGAGGTGTATCCCAATGCATGCTCGAAAGTAAGTGCTTCAGTCTGTACTATTGCATGGTCCGACGAAGCGATCCGGCGCTTCCGCTGGCTGTAGATGCCTTGGGATATCAGGTTTCCTCATAGCAGCAGTTTGGTTTTGACCGTCACTCGGCGAGGATGTAATTTCGGTTCTTTCGGCAACAGTATGAAGAGAATATCCTTTAGTGATGGAAGTTTGACAGTGGCGAAACGCTTATTGGTGCGACAGTGGCTGCTCTGCAAGCTGGGGTGAACGCAATAGCTCCACAGCCGGTAGAACATATGACATTTTAGCAAAGGAAATGTGTACGGATGAGTTGATAAGGATATGGCACCCAGAAGAGTAGGACGGCTGTAAGGATGCACAAGAACTCCACGATCCCATCAGTTGGCTGAAAATGTATCCCGCTTTGAACCCAAAAATAAAGAGAAAAGAGTGCTGTTTGCGGCATGTGTTATAAGAGGAGAAGCGCTTGAATGCTGGCTATTTGTGTGAAGGAGGTTATGCCTCTTCGAATTAATACAATTTAAGTCTCTTTAGTTGCTTTGACACATCAATTAATGCTGAAATCAGCTCAACAGCAGGGCTTGGGACGATTGAGATGGCTGTACCAGGGGAGTTTACTGCTGGATTACTATGTCGAGGAACATAAAACCTTCGTTGTCAAAGCCACAAAGTAGACGAAACACTGCTTAGGGTGTAACTCAGGACAGGTCTACCGGAAGTACTCAGTCAGGCGGGTGGAGGTTGGGGCAGCGATTCAGCAACAAACAGCCAACCGGTGAAGCTTCTGGATATGCTAGACTGCTTGAGGCTTCAGGAGCAAATGAGTACAGTTCCTGCGTCTTTAGCTAAGTGAGTGGAGAGTAGAGCAAAGTCAGGATCTGCACCTATGGATACAGGAGCTGTGTCGACCGGCAAGCAATCCAAGGTAAACGGGGAGAAGCGCAAAAGGAAATTCTCGCTCTCAAGCAACCACAAACAAACCACCAAAAACGCATCTGCTTTTATTGTGGAAAACAGGCTCACAGAATCTCGAGCTGCACACGGATGCAGCAAGTCAGAGAAGTTAAACAACAGTACTGGGCCTAGGGGAATCAAGCTGCTTGGCGAGCAAAGAAAGCGGATCAGAGCACAGTCAAGCCTCCTAGTCAGACTGCATCACACCAAATGGGGCTAGAGAGGCTATAGTCGCACTTCTGAACCCTCTACAGGTCATTTCCGCGTTGCTGCAAGCTTAACTAACGGTCAAGAACTGCTAATATTACTCCAGACCGGATATGGAGAGGATCTGTGATTGGATACACTCAGGTCTGCTAACGGGCGGCAGGACACAAGGATGTGTAAGGCTGATGCAGCCAAGTACCACATAAAATTGGAGTTGGGTCCTTTCAGGACGGTGTGTGACTTCTGGTCCGGACCCATGCACTACGGTCGTGTGCATGTCATGCTGGAAGACGCGCATGCACCAAGCGCTGCGCATTGTAGAGGCTATTGCGCCAGGAAGCCTTAGAATGAAACGGTTTTTTTGTTGCCTTAACAATTTAGTTTACGTGTGGAGAGCAGAGTAGAGCTGAAGTCTTAACAAGATAAGGCAAAGGCTATTTGCGGACAGCTCAGCAGCACAGTAAAATGGATGGCTTTGAGCATGCATCTCTTCTTGCTGGCTGTGCAACTAGTTTTTCATTGGAGATATATATCAAGCTTTGCAGCTAATGAATACAAGAAATGGGCGAAAAATCAAAGATAAACTAACGGATGTGCAGCTTTTGACGCGCTGCGAGCACGCTGGCCACCTGGTGGGGGAACCATTATACCGCTTTGAGCTAAGACAAGCCCCAAGCTATGTTTTGCTGTCTCGGAAGCCCCAACAGCATAAAGAGAAAAATAAACTCCATGCGGATAAATTGTTGAAAAAAGCAAAACGCAGGAATCGACCTCAGCTTTTGGATATACCCCGGCATTGGTGCAGGGAAACGATGGACGATGGCGCAGGTGCGTATAGTTTTAACCCCTAAGCAAGACCACTGTGAAGGGAAAGCTCCTCCGCCTCATACTAGCAAACTACGTGACAGGCTACTAAGATGGATAGTCGACTCGACATTTGATTCCACAAACACTATCTTGAAAATCACTTTTTCTCACCCTGCTGAAACGCATAAATGGCGCTCCACATTCGCACTCGCAAAGTCGGGAAGACCTGTGCGCTGATTGTGCCTGTCAGTGGCCAAGCCAAGCTGCAACAGCAAATCTATTGTAATTTTATTGAGTCTATCAAGGAATGGTGGATGACTCTATACATGGATAACGTCCACTCTTCAGGCAAAGCGTTTTAAAGCACCAAGATAACCAACGGCGTGCGCTTGTGCTCTTGCGGAACAAGCAGATGGTATGTGAAGCCACGCAAGCGTTCGCTTGTCATGATATCAGATAAACTTTTAAAATCCCGTGCTTTTGCTGCAAGAATTGAGCTGGATCCGGCAACAAGTGGGGCAATCAGGTGATGGGCATTTCCTACCAGCAACGATGTTGCGAAGCCTTCTGAGATTTCATCTAGGGATCAAATTTTCAGGTATAAATTTGCTTAGATCACTGCAACTTGGACTGATCTACCTAAGAAGATACAGTGTATGACCTAAACAGAGAAGGCTGATGCCGCCACAAGGACGCTTATCGTCCGCGTCACAACTCCTGAACTACGTACGCTACTCGATTGAGAGCGTCACTGCTGCCTACCAACCGATGCTCGTGAAGGTACACATCTTTCTCAACATGCTACTAGCTCTCCAAAATCCCCAAATATTGCTTGTAATTCCCATTGTTTCACCAAAATCGACCACTGGTATTCAGACCCCAAAAAATCTCTGTATGGTGAAGTGGGGCATGAACAATCCCAGCACAATGTACATGGCCGTCATGTTATTTTTCAAAGCGACTCCGGCCTTTAAGGTACCTTAGGGAAAGCCTGAAGTATTAAAAAATCCTGATATGTTCGCTGGCTTAGGCGCATCCTGCGGGCTTTTTAGACTGAAGTATTTTTAAGCCCTTATCAACCTGGACGCCGACACGGGCACGCGAAGCTCTATCAGTTTACTATTGTGCAGCGCAGTCGCTTTTGTCTGTGATGTTTTACTGCTTGTCTCAAGATTGCCTGCGCCTTACTTTTTGACACTTACGCACTCGCTACTATTGCCAAGACGCAGAATGGCATAATATCAGGCATTGCTACGTTGAGGATGGCCTGCTGTGGTTCACGACAAAGCAGGGACTGATTCGCTTGTGCACTCTGACTTTTTTGCAACCCTCTTTTGCCAAGGCATATTATGTTTCCTCGAATTATGCCGGGATTCACACTGTAGTGAAAAAGTTCTCCTGGCTTTTCTCATGGCCAGAAATGGGCGTCGCGGCATCGGTGCGCCTTCTCTGTTGTTAGCCTTTCTGCAACACCTTCTAGTCCCTGAATGGTTTCTGACTGACCTGAGAGGACTTGGACTGACATCATTACGAACTTCATTGTTGGAGTCCCGGAGGTCAAGGGTCAGGATAGCGTCTACGCCCCCGTCAACAAAATTAAACAAGAATGCCCATTTTCTCCCTTGCTGTAGCAGTCTCACGGCCCAAGATGTCCCTTAATGATTAGAATCCCCGGTCTAGATGCGATTTTGATTCCTAAGGAGTATCATTACGAATAGTAATCTGAAGTTCGTCAGTGCATTCTGTTGTGCCCGTGTTATGTGCCTGCACATTGACCACAATATGACCGCTGCGAGCCACCCTGAGGCAAATGGATGGACGGAACACACCTCTCACACTCCTCTGCTCCTCTGCAGTATTTGCAACTTTGCACTCACACAAAAGTCCAGTATTTTGGCTTGTATTTTCTCTGTGCCAAGTGGGCTTCTAATACAACAGTGTATTCGTCTGCCTCTTGCCCCCCAGCATCCCTGGTCTACATTGAAGAAGCCTTTTCCGACTCAGGCCTGAGAGTCGTGATTCAAGGTCATCAGTCACCCTTAAAGTGGAAGGATTCAGATAACAGCTGGCTAGTGCACGTGAATGTATGCACATAGATTCAACAGAGACAAGCAGCTCACTATGGTCAGCGGGGGTTGGCTTTGCGTTGCGAACGTAAAGATGTCCTACAGGATGGGCAGATATTACGAAATGTACCATACGGTGACCAGACGAAGAGCTTTGTGGCCAGGCGGCTAGAACCGTTGTCATCCTCTCAGACCTTGTTGCTCCTTCTTACTGTGTCATAATCCTTAAAAGTGGGACGTGCCATACAACTTTCAGGCTTGACTAGCTAAATAGTTTCAAAGTCATCCTGAATTATTTACGGACCTCTCTGCATATGCAGGTGACCCATGTCAAGGTAGTAGCGGAGGTGCTGGATTCTCTGTCGGATGCCGAGGACAGACATGACGCAACGGAATAGTGAACTGGAGCGAGGAACTCCATCCCCAGAGGTCGAAGTTGGAGCAACTGCGAGGTTTGTTGCTTGCAGAATTCATTTTTGGTTCTGCATAGCTAGCGACGCCAGTGGCCATGGATGGTGTCCCTTTGCGCTCCTCTATGCTTGAAATAGCAACTTCTATCTGCATGCATTGCTTCAGAAGCGCTTAATTAGGGCTTCACATGTGCTCTCTGCACTCAGGTTTATGGCAAGCTCAGATATCTGGTACTCACATTCTCCGTTTCGCCACGCCTGGGGTTTTGGATTTGACAGTGCTGTATTCACCAGCCGTTTTTACACGCAGATACTGCCCTATGCGGCCTGGAAGCACTGCAGCACAAATGTGTACTTTGAATCTTTTTGTATCTTTTACATCTCTTCCGTCTTTAGGGAGGCTGCACATTTCACGGTTCCGACGACTGCAAGCCCTCGCGCCGCAGCGATCGTGTTCGTTTAGTTTCTCGGTCTTTTTGCTGCGTGTTTCCTTCTTTTTATAGACTTTGCTTAAGCAGTTGATGCAAACATTCGTTCCTCCTATGCCTATTTTTGTTGCTCTACCCGCCTGGGGAGTGACTTTCGGGCGGGAATTCCTCAGCTGGTCTACAAGTAGCTGCTCTCGACTTACAGGTAAGGAGCGCAAGGATTTGTGTTTGGAATGGGATGAAAGACATAGCGGGCCAAGCTACTTTTGAACACTTTCTATCATCACTAAGTATATTCGACTGAGATTACGTAAAGAATTGACTCAGTGGTTCTCTGCTTGTACATCTTTTTTATGGCAGAATAATTTCAGCACGGTACAAGGTAATGCACTGTTGTGTACTTGTGAGCCAAACCTATACGCAACCAGCTGTGAGTGCTTGGAGCGCTTAAAAACCGATTCAGCTACGCTCACTCTAGCTGTCTTTCTCCGCCCTATGGGAACCTCGAGGGACTCCGGCAAGGGAGTGGAGGAGCGATTTTATGACACAGCCAATAACCATTGCAAATTTTGCTTGAGCTTGAGGACAATTTTTTCCTTACAAATTCCGTAATTGGAGCGTTGCAAGTATGGACACGGAACAGGGAGCTCTCTTGAAATTACATTCATCGGATTTCTATATAGTTTTGTGTTGGATTTGAAGCCTGTTCGAGCTCTCTCTACGGAAATCCGAACGAGGAGTTTTACAAAGGTCATGCCACAGGGAAAGGCACCAAAGCCCTCCGGTGCATATTAATATTATTGCTCTTCCGAGCACGCATATTCCAGCAAGCTATATATACGTATAGTCCTAGTTCCCCCCTTCTCTCTACATGCGTATTCCTCGAGCAGTCCATTTTTCTATATTTCATCCATTTTTGCATTGTGATCTTTGTCTTCCTACCAGCAACACCGTGCTCCATCAGATATGATGCCTTCCAGCCATTCCCAAGGGGCCCCGTATGCTTGGTCGGCAGCTAGGCCCTTCCCATTCTAACATTACAGCTGCAGCAGGAAGCTGTAGGCACGGTTTCCCTCACTTTAACAGCTTTTGACTTCGCTGTGCAGGTGCAGTGCCTACAGGGGTAAACCATCGAGCAACGTCGCAGAAAGGCAACTGGGACTGATAAAGATGACTCACTTGAGGAAGGAGTAGCTGTATCATCCTAAAGTTAGAGGTCCCAGCATGGGTACACGTTGTTCTTCCTGAGATTTGCGTGAGAATGTCCTCTGCTTCAAATGCTCATTAAAAGTGCAAAGAAGAAAGGCCTTCGTTATCTCTGAAGAGTGCTTCATCTCTCGGTGTTCAGCCCTTAGGGGTTTCTACGTGGGGGAGGGGAGGGCATTCAGAAAGCAAGGAGCCGCGCCGTGAACTGTTTTTTGGGCAATTGCTCACAGTGATAAATACGCCAGTGGGAAGCAGATGAGCACAGCTTCCATTGTTCTTGTGTTGAACTAGCCTCTTCGCAACAGATACAGATAGGCCATAAGAAGTGCTAAATCATGAGCTCAAATAAACGCGCGAGGCTGCATTCAGGATTTCAGCAGTTATAGACTTAGCTTCAGACTCAGCCGACACCTAGCAGAAATTTATGAAGCATTTTCCATAAGAATCTTCGTAGCTCTCTTTGCCCACGCCCCTCAGAGTTCCGAAATGGGGGCAGTGGGACTGCTAGGATGCGTGTTGTTTAACCCATCAAGCTAATTTTAGATGGCATCTAGAGCACAGGCACCCAAAGCAGCGCCTAAAGGTAGCGAGTTAGAGCTGCTCTGCAGTGAATATGTTCTACAAACAGACAATTACTTGACTACTTGGGTTGACTATTTCTACTACACTAGCTTGTATGTCCAAGAACTCGATAAAATTGACTAGTTGTTTCTTTTCCGGTTCTTAAGTGAGTGTCAATGGTGTACCAAAAGACCGAAGCGTGACTTAGCTCGCTGCAAAGCCTGAAATTTGGTGTGATTATTGTGGGAGACACTGCCAAAGTGTAGCTGGGCAAGCCGTACTGGGTACCGTATTCTTAGGCCGTCGCCTGACTTTCCATTGAAAGGTATACGGGCGGCATGCAACAGCGGCAGCACCCCGGAAAGGCCATGCCTGCTCACGCACCATTAAGAGTTCTCTCTATGTTTAGTGAGCTCTTCCACGCAAGGAATTCTGACGTACGCTATCCATATGTGCTAGGAAACAGGAGGGATCAAGATATCCTGCAGGAAAACAGCCTCTTGGAAGCAGTGCTCCTGTGTATTTAGACCCTTTTCGATACCCTGATAAGCCAGCCCTCTATGTTTCCTCCTAGATTGGCAAACAAATGCGGCTTTCCGATCAGAATGCGGGCCCCTGTGTTGCTGGTCCCACTAACTGGCCCTGTCTCATCCATGGTTCTCGCCAGTTTCTTCAAATTTCTCGATAAATTGCAGCAATTGAATGTGTATTACCGCAGAGGAGCAAGCACAGCCTCCAGTCTACATCGGTGGGCCCCTGCGCTTGCGGGTGCCTCCGCAAATGAGGGACAGACATGCAACTAATGTGCAAAAATACATCCTCATTAGATGCATTATTGCTTTAAGTTATCTGGGAGAAAAGTGTGTCGGGAAGGAGGCGCTAGTTGCTGATGTAGTTGTTGCCGCTTCTGATGCAGGCCTTCTCTGCGTCTGTTGAGCCATTGGTCCTTGCACGCTGGCACCCCGACAGTTCGCTTTACCGCACGTACTTCTGCAGAGTGATGTCTTCTATGTTTAACAGCAGGTCTGCTGCGACGAATTTGCTTCCGCTACCCCTCAGGCTCTTGCTGGTTCACTGTTATGTGCAGGAGGCCCTTTTTCTACCTCTTCCATCCTCATCCTCTCCCAAGCTGTATGTCATGCATCTCTGTGTATCTCTGCAGGGAGATAGAGGGGGCTTTTTGGTGGGGCGGTGCAGCGGGCGGTGCAAGAGTCCCTAAATCATCGACCCCGCCAACGCGAAGCTCGATTTAGTGCATTTCCACACAGGGAGCCTGGCGGCTCAGAAGACTTTCCAGAGGCAAGTGTTAGGGCCATTGATAATGAGGATGCTCTGGGAGCGCCGCCAGGCATCTCAAGCTGAAGGTGATGCTCCTCCAGAGCTCCTGGGCGCCCTCACTGCTGGTAATGCGTGCTGGGGTCCGACAGCAGCGCAAGGCGGTCCAATAAACGACCTTCAAACAAGCAATCTAGGCTTGTCCCTTGAAGAACACGTCGAGACATGGAAGCCGCTCTTCTTCACGAGCTCGGAAGAGTTCAGTGCTGACTCTTTGTGTGTGTCGCCTCCGCCTCCAACGTCAGCACCAGGAGAAGTAAACGACGCCGTCTCTGTCCGCTCACAGAGAGTGGACAACGAGGACAATGAAATATTGATTCCAGTTTCAGCCACGTTTTTCCTGGGCTGCGAAACGTGTGGCAGCGGCAACGGCCAGGGGCTCTTGTCCCCTCCGTCAGACCGAGCATCACAGATGCCCCCCGAAACCTCTCAGGAGGGGTCCACAGAGCTTCCTCTGGGCCTGTTCACGTCGGTGGTAAGGGATGGCACTGGAACTCAGGGAGCAGCTCGAGAGTACTCAGAGTTTCACAAGGCCCAGAAGGGCCTTGTGGTCGCCCCTAAGGCCTCAGCAGAAGAGCATGGGCCCTTGCAGTCCTCAAGACTCATAGGAAGCAAAGGCACGCGTGCCAGAGACGGCGATGGGAGCGAACAGCTCTGTGATGCTGCCGCTCATGGAAGCTCGCCCGCCATAACCCCCAAGCCGGAATGGACTACAGGCGCCCCTCCAAGTGCTGCCGTTCCGGCGGCTCCAGAGGACAGCCAGAACTGCAACACTTGCGGCAACCATGTTAGCTGTGTTGACTGCAGATGCAACGATGTCCATGCTGTGTGTAAGCACCAGCAGGGGCCTTTGCAGCATGTAAACGGCAGCCACACGATGCTACTGCTCAACGACTCTCGAGACTATCCATTTCGACACCAGGAGGGCCTACCAACAGAGGAGGCAGGAGACCTTGGAACCCCTACCGTGGGAAGCCTTTCAATGTCCAGCGTGGTGCCCAAGCTGTTATGTGACCAACTGGAACAACAGCGGCTGGACGAAGAAGAGGTTCAGACCGCGCGCGAACTGGAATCTGAGCCTGCCCCAACCGCATCAGAAAAAGACGCACCTCTTTTCCCGCAAGAAAAGCAGCAACAGAAGCCGCCACAGCCCTTGGAACCGACTGCGGCGCCTCGGCCTGCGCAGCCAATCGCTGGTGCACCAATCGACTTAAGCACAGCAGTAACGGTGCCATCAGACGCGGCAGATGCAACGTTTGTAGGTGTAGTTGTGGCACAGAAAAGTCAAGCGTCGGACGGTGCCTCTTCTAGAGCTTCAGCGCAGCCGACTAACCAGAAGCAGCAAGAACAGCAAGAAAAACAGCAGCAAGGGCAGCGGGGGTGTCTTTCTTCATCAGCTACAGTTCGTGCGGCCAGCAGGAGGGCCTTGCTGGACAGCCTTCGCTTTACCTTTCCCCTGAGTGGCACTGCAGCAGCACCAGCGGCAACAGAGGGCTCCCCTACTACTGCGGCCACCCCAGGGAACGCGAGCAGCTGGAAAGAAGGCTCTGTGCGCCAGAGCTTTGGACCCGCTGTAAGCAGTGTTCGGCCTGGTTCCAGGGTGCCGCTTTCATGTCAGGATGCGGCGACAACTTCGGCAGCAAGTGCCACACCGGCGCAGACACGCACTTCTTTCTGGGGCAGCGGCAATTTGAGGGGTTTCGGCAGCGCTTCACGGGCACTGACGGTCCGGGAGGTCATCAGTGAAGCCCTACGCAACAGGTGCAGCAACGGTAACCGGGAGGGTGTCGTAGCCTTCAGAGGTGGGGGGACGCAATCCTCTCAACAGCCGTCCTGGCAGACCGCCTTATGCTATAGCAGCCGGTCCTATTCTTCACTGGACAGGGAGGCCCTTCTCTTCTATCTGCAGCTTGTCTCGGCCTTTGAGACGCACTGGGTACCAGTGAAGCCTCTTCTCTCCTTGGAGCCTGTATTGCCTCCCCCGGCGACCAATGACGCAGTTCGCCCGTCACCGTCAGTTGTAAGCCTCTGCCCCTACTTTCTTCTTGAGCCGGCTTATCCTGCCTTCCACTGGTCTGCTACCACCCTAGGGGCCGGCGCTGTTTGTATGCCTTTACTTTGCGCAGCTGGGAGCCCCGGGAAGCGTAATCGTTTACCTGGTGGCTCCCTGTCTAATCCGAGCTATCCGCAAGGTCAGGCTCCTGCCGATGCAACTGCAAGCCCTCGCTGTCCAGGAGATATCCCTCTGCAGTAGTGGCCCTGGCTATGCAGGATCATTGCAGCAGCAGCAAGAAGAAGACCACAGCGAAGGGCTTCAAAAGGTGTTGAAAGCAGCTCAGCAGCATGTGAAACTGCCGAACCCCCTGAAGCTCCACATGCAGGCAGCAGCCACAACACCGCTTTCAAAGGCGCTCTTAGATTCGGCTGTCTCTGGAAGGCCATGTGCCTCCCCTTCTGCGCCGAGGACCCCAGAAACAAAGCCACTCGAGTCGTCTGGAGGTGGAAACCGCGTGATAGATGTTTTCCTTTGCTGTGGCGGAAAGGATATGCTGGCCCTGGATTGGCTGCCCTTCGTATCCCGCTACCTGCACTTTTGCTTATCGGCTTCTGTGCGCCGAAAGCAGCAGGCAGCCGTACGGGAGGGGCGCTTAACGTTTTCCGAAGACGCAGTCTTCCGCACGGCGGCAGCAGCAGCGCAGCAGCAGCGGGTGGGAGCGAAGGGACATGAGAAGGCAGAGGTCATCGCGCAGGTGCTCGCTAGGGCAGCCAGCATGCATATCGGCGTTGCTCAGGTGCCCCAGCAAGTGCCCCCAGAGCAGCAAGAGCAGCAGCCACTGTACGAAGGGCATTCGCGGCAGAAGGACATGTCTCGTATGATGGCGAATTCCAGGGAGCTCGGAGTGAGGGCGCATTTGCAGTAGTGCAGCGCCTTGGAACTCCAGGCCTGACTTTCAGAGAGCGAACTAAGCGCTATATTACCACTTCTTCCACTTTTGCTGCCTCCACTATCGCAGAGCTAACGACAGCAGCAAAGGGGCTGAATGCTGGTGTTGGGGACTGCGCCTTTTTTGCGTGCACTGTAGGTGGCTGAGGAGAGTTCCATTCCAGGCCTGGCGGCATCACCAGCGCCTTCATCATCGGCGGCAGACGTGGCGAATAAGGATGGAGCCTCGCTTGTGGAATTGGAGGTGCCCGTGCTCCTGAAGATGGATATGGCCTTCGTACTACTTGACTACCCAGGCTATGGGCACAATCACGGAGATGTTCCCACACCGGAAGGCAAGCTGGGCCTTTGTGCCTATCCTACGCTTCAGCCGCTTCCTGCTGCTGCGTTTCGAGACTTTTGTTGCTGTCTGTTAGGAGTGTCGTAGTGCAGCCAGTCCGTGGTCTGCATGTAGTTTCTATTGCTGCTCATCGCAGTAGCAGCAGCACAGGCAGTAACAGCGGGCGCAGCATGTATACCCCTCTTATTGCGCAGGCTGCATAGGAGCCGCAGTGAGGGGGCTCACAGCGTCTCTTCGCCAGTTGAGGGCTCAAAGCGGAGGGCGCTGCAGATTCCGGGTACTGATTGCTGCAGCAGATGCAGCGATTGCTCATGGCACCGGAAGATCCGCACAGGAGAGGATGCCAGCCACTGCTAGCTTCTGTTTTTCAGAAGGTTCAAAGGCAGCGCTAGATACTAAGCATGTAGCACGAGTGCATACTTGCAGAGACGGGGGGGAAAAGGGCTACGGAGAGACAAGGCACAGAGTGTAAACACTAGAGTTATTCGCCTTGTGGGTATGTACTGTGTCTTTGCGGCTTCTGCACCCAGTTGAACTTTATTGGGTACTCTCTAGGAGGAGCGATAGCGCTCGAGACGGCCAACATTATCTGCAAAGAGTTGATTTGGATGCAGCGAGAGCTGCAGAGGCGGCACTCTTCCTCCGGCGGGAATAGCCGCATCAGTACCAGCAGCAGCAGTAGTAGCAACAGCAGCAACAGGACAGGTACGGCACCAGCGGAGCGGCCCTTGGCGTCTTTTAACAGATCGGCAAACGGGAACTCCACACTAGGACCATCTGACTCGCCTTTAACGCACGCGATTCAGACATGGGCCTCCTTAACAGGCAGAGAAACTAGCAACAGGAGTAGCAGGTCGAATTCACGTAGCGGCAGCTCCAGCAGTGAACACGAGGGCGGCAGCACAGAAAACGGGAACGGTAGAAGCCGCAGGAGTAATAGTCCAAGCGGTGGCACCAGGCAGGCGGCAACTACGGTCGATAGCACCGATGCAGTAGCTGCTTCACCCGTGCAGCAGTCATTTGTGTCTCCCTTAAGAGCCCACCGTACACCAGCAGCAACCTCACCGTCAGTCCACCCTAGAGCATCCTCTGCCACAAGCACTCAACGCACTACCAGTCTACGCAGCAGCGTTGAGGAGGACTGGGGTGACAGCACTTGGGGTGTAGAGTCAGCACTATCCGATCTGAAACCAGCGGACACTTCGTTTGGAGGTCCTCTGGGGTCTGTGAGCCTGGGCTGGGAACTCCGGGCCTTTTTCGAGGAGCTACTCGACGAAAATGATGCCTCTTGGGGGCAGCAGCAGGGGCATGACGAGGAGTTAGAAGCGCCTATATCGTTTCGAGGTCTAGCACTTGTTGCTACCTTCACTACTACTGCGGACTGCGCTGCGGCCTTTCTACAGCTGCCATCCCCCCTGAATGCGGTTTTTCGATCACTGATAGAGTTTATCCAAGATGAAAATACCAAGTGCGTGGCGTTCGAAGATAGCACACACGCAACTGCTATCCAACTGCAGCAGCCGAAGGCCCAGCTTCCAATTCATGGTTGTCGTGCTTTTATGCTTTGCAGGTGGAACAATGAGCTAGCAATCCGCCGCTTCTGCACGACCCTTGCCACCGGTAAGCTGACCCTAAACTCTCGGTTTTAGGCTAAAATCGTAAAAGTCTAGCGGGACGCATCGTCACAAGAGTAGTGGTAGCCGCCGCCTCGTCACGAGCAGTGCAGCAGCTGCAGGAAGGTGCGTGCAGCCATGGCGTTTGCCAGGTCGTTGGCGGTGAGCTCCTCTCCGCCGTTTTTCTTGCAATTATTTGAGCGGGTCCGCTGCCATGGCGGTTGGGCATGTGTGTCGCAGGTCGTTCAGGGCTATTCAAGGGGGCTCAACTTTTAATTTTTCACGGAACCGCCGACCGTGTAGTGCCTTGCTGGATGGGGGCTCGCCTCTTTGCACTTGCGGGCGAGAGCGGAATCTTTCACCAAAAGGAACATCCTGAAGAACAGAAGAAAGAAGCTCAACTGGAGCCGCTGAGCAAGCACGATGGTGAATCTGCCGTTCACCGCTCCACAGGACAAGGGGTGACAGTCTCGGAGGGTGCATCAGCCCCTCTACCTGCATCTGCAACAACGGTTGCGGCCAGAGACGACTTTGCCTGCATTCAAGAGGCAGGTCAAATGGAGTCTCCGTGTGCGGGCCTTTGCATGGAGGCGCAAGAGCATCTTGCAGGTGCTCGTACGGGTAGTGCTTTTGAACAGCCGCGAAAGGATCATGCAGTTACTGTACATCCGGGCTGTGAAGGTGGAGATGCTCCACCTCGCGTCCAAACAGGTTCAGCCTATGAGGGTGACTTCAATGCGGAGTGCGTCCCCACTCATGCCGTTGTGCGGCTGGCCTGCGATGCTGCACAAGACTGGCTGCCTTCGACGGATCAGCGGCCTGCAGCAGCCACACAGGCCGCAGCACGAGCAGAGCCATCTTTGCGAAACCCAGAGAGGGGATTATTGCCAGCTGAAGATTTGTTGAAAAGTCATTCTTTGCGAAGGCACTCACTTGCTCGAGATCCTCGGGGTCTTTTGACCCTCCAGCCTCACTCGTCTGTGGCCCATAGCGATACGGAGGCCTGCAATAGCAGTGGAAACAGCAATAGCCATGCATGCGCTTCCCTGTCGTTGGAGTCACAGACGGGTGAAGTCGCCCGAATTGAAGGGGGGTCAATGCAATTGTCTGTGAGATGCCAGGACACCCCAGCACCTAGCGAAGTGGACGAACCAAAAGGAGGCGCCGTTCCCAGCAGGGCTCTCCCACGGGTGTCGCCTTCTTTCAGGGCGCCAGGGTCCCATAGGGAATCCGCCTCAGGTCCTCATGGCATTCTTCACTGCCCTGAGTGTCTATGCAGCCCACACCTGGAGGTATGTACCTATACATGCTCCCTCGCATCAGCTACCGTCAGATGTGTCCCTTAGGCACCGTCCAGACACTCCCCTTCACGTAGTAAGCAGGAGTCACTACTTTCGTGTGGCTACGCCCTGATGTGAGAGGAACGCCCTTTGTCTTTATCGTCTCTCTACCCCGATGGCGTGTGTGTCATTCGCCGAAATGTTAGTGGGGAGCTCCAGATCTAGCGGCTGATGCCGTGCTATCTGTTGCCTGCAGTTCTTCGAGCTGGGTGGAGCGGATCACCGCACGGTTTGCTCGGCCGGTAAATTCCAAAAGAAGATATTCCAGCGACTCTATGATGAAACGATTGTTAGAGTCCTCAGATGAAGGTGGACCCCCTGATGATGCTTTCACAAAGACTTTCAAAGCAGTAGGGCCCTACAATAATCTCGAGCCGAAGGGTCGTGGAACTCTCAAGAGGGCAAGGGCCCAGAGTCAGGAGGAAACGGTTTTCAATCCTTGCGGATCTTCTCTTGAAACTGTGCACACCAACCTGAACAGGAAGTGGGGTTCCCAATAGTTCTCCTCCATTGTGCACATCCTTCGGTTTACTTCTGTTTCTTTTGACCCCAAAGCGGGATCAAAGGACCCCATGGCAGCCTGGAGGGTGCCCAATGCCGTCCTCGTACATGCTGTGGGTCTCACTTAGTCTGCTTGCTGATGGCCCGAATGCCATGTAATTTAAAGGATCCTGTACCACCTAAAGGTGGCTTCCTTGGGAGGACCCTCCATCCAATTCTACCTTTTACTAGGTCTGGAATTCCTTTCGCCTGTCACCCAATTTTAAGGCGGATGGTGCCTTTCTGGGCTGTTGCTTGGTAGTTCCTTGTGCTCATTACGACTTCCCTCATTGTGCATCTCCTGGGCCGTCTGCAATTTCACGGTTACTAGGCGAGTTTTTTGCGGCTTCCGATCCGGCCTCGTGTGTGGGGTTATTGCCAATCGCCCTCGGCGTGGTGAGCGCTGCACAAACGTTCTCCCGCTTAACTACCCTAGCTTTTAGGACATATTCCACTGAAGCCTATGCTCACGGATTCGCTTTGTAGCACAGGCCTGCTGGGACCACGCAGTCGTAGCGCATCATGCTTGACTATTTCAACGTCCTAGAGGCGTAAAGAAAATGCATGCGTCTATGCTTGCAAATACACGGGATGCTTCCACAGATACGGATATTTCAATGGAGGTATGGATACTTCTCTAGTGTTGCCATCTTTGCTTTGTGTTCGGCATGGCTCTGCAATTTTCAAATGGTCGCTGGGGACACGCTTCCTTTCAGCCAGTGCTGATGGCTCCACGTTAAGAGGAAGTCCTCCTATCCTCCTACGTTGGCTATACTCGTGGGTTGCTCCCGTTTTGAGAATTTGCATAGCTTTGGGTCTGAGCTTTCGTGTTATTCGGGGAAAGTCTATTGCTTAAGCGAGAATCAATTTGTCTCGAAGGTACACAAGTGGAAAACCCTTAGTGTAGTTCTCGTCAGCAGACTATTCGCTGCCGTCCGACCAATAGATATGCAAATGCATTTTGCAAATGAAAGGCGCACAAGGAGAAGCCTAATTCGAAACAACCGCAGCTAATTTAACCTGATCAGTCAAAAAGCTGCTTTCTGTACTGTTGCTCTGCAGCAGCACAAATTGGCTGGGCCCTCAGAAATCTCATGGGGTGCCAAGGACCTGTAGAGACCCTCGGTGCGCTACAGGACCTCTACGAGGCTCAGAGTACACTTCTCATAACCGGACTCATTCCCCAATGCATGCAAGGGTGTTGGATAAACTTGCTTGCCGAGTTGGGGCGTGAGAATCAGGGGCAAGGTGAATCGAGGACATAATCCTCCGCTGCGGCATTTGTTAGCCTTCTGGCTACAGGGTAAGGCCCAAGGACTCCGATGCTTTCAAGTCTTTTGAGCTCACTCTCCTTGCCTTTAGGCCTTTGCCCAAGCAAGCCTCCTGAATGCTGCGACTGCGAGTGTCGGCATAGGACAGTAAGAATAGTCTGCCCCCCAGTTTCCTTCCCTTGAGTTACCTATGGCCCGTGAAAGCGGCACTTCAGGCAAGTGCGGCTCTCACATAAAAACACTTTGCTCTTCTTAGAGATGAGACTCTGATATAGGGTCTCCAGCCTTAGGCACCAGCAATTTTGCTGCAACCACGTAGAAAGGGCTTTCGGGCTGAATAGCCTTCGCTTTTTCGGTGACAAGAGCTAAGAGCCTTTCCGAGCTTTGGGTGAACAACTTTTGGCTTCTGGAGGAAACAATTGTGGTCAGCTGCTCCATACCTGCCTTGAGCGAAACTGCTAGTGCGAAGAAAGAGTCTCTGCAAAGGAACTGCTTTCCAGATATCGCTGGGCCTGCCTGGCTTGCCATGAAATGGGTGCAGTCTCTGTACAAGACGCCCCTTGAGACCAGCTCCCCAAAAGGCGCTTCATGTCTTGGATATACCGATTCCAGGACGTATAAGGAGTGTTTCCACATAGAGTCTTCCATGTCTGGGATGTACAAAGGCTCGCCATCTTTCTTGAGATTTGCCGCGTCAAGCCAGTACATATATTTGGAGGAGTCCCAACCCGCTTGTTTGCGGATCACTTTAACTAGTTCCAAAAATTTCTCTGCGCTTCCTGCATACGTGTCTTCAGAAAACTGGTCTGTACCCTGCTTCATTCCCTTCAGAATCCCCAATACGACCACCATGAGCCGTGCGCCCTCGGACTCCAGCTGGGTGGCAACGGATGCTGAATGAATCCCTTCATTACTCTTTAAACGAGACAAAAAGTTCCACCCGAGCTCCAGGGCAACTGCTTTTGCCGCCTTCATAAGCATACGGGGGTTCTGGATGCCAGTGAAGGGCAGCGCTTCAGGTGGAAGGAACGAGTATCGCAAAGCCGGTGAAACTTCGTAATAAGGCAGGTTTTTGAGCTTTGCCAAGTCCGCGGGAGCCATAGGTAAATCCCCTGCATTATTTTGAGCGCTTTCATATAGCTTGGCTATCTGGAAATCTTGGAAGGGCGTGAGGGCGGGATTCGTGGATACCGGGGTGGCTGTGTAATGCTCGTAAGTGCAGGTGCCCAAAAAGGGATCTTTGTGGCCGGCAGGGTTCCCCCAGAATACCACATACCGAGGTCCGTACTGAGGGTTCCACCCTAAAGGCCTCTCCCACTTCTCAAATGCTTCGGATACATTCGAGAACAGGGCGAAAACTGCGCAGAGGACGAGAGAGGCGTTAAAAGAGAGTCTGGTCAAAGAAGGGACCTTCTGTGACCATTTTTTTCGTAAGAAGACCATTCTTTGAGGAAGGGAGACCATGAACAAGTGCACAAAGCGAACAGACACAGTTGGGTCGGCGTCTGAGGATCGCCACGGCAAACGCCTCCCCAGATCAGCAAGTCGCCAGGTTAACTACAATGAAATCTTTAATTTACCAAGCCATCGAAGAGTTTATTGAGCAAAACTGCTGTTCCAGAATCGGATTTGCACTTCAGTATCTTTGCCCTCACGGGGCCGGGGATGGCTCGGTCGCCAGGCAGCCCTGGATCATTCGGCCGCCTTGGAGTCTGACGCTAGAGGAAGAAAGTTTGCCTTCTCACACTTTTGACGCCGCCGAAAGCATTTTCGAAAAGGTAGCGCGAGCGTGAGATGTAGAGGTGGGCACCACAAGAAGACTGATCACGCTAGGTCGTTCTCGTGGTCCGCCTGCTGAGAGTCGACGCCACGAGTCCCTCCAGCCAACAACAAGAGGAACAATTAGTCATAAAAGGTAAAGAACGACCGGACGGCCATGAGCTAATTATTGTTATGGTAACTGCCCGCGGCACCTTCATTTCAAGGACTACTTCCATAAATCAACTCTAGAGTAACGCGGCACCCTTGCAGTTTGGTTAGAGTTCCTCATGCGTGTGAGTTCCTAGCATATGGTATGCAAAAGTCCATATCCCTTTTTCTACAAACATTTTCCCTATGCAGTCATGGTACATTCACTCTCAATGTCGGCAGGCTTCTCTGCCTTTGCCTCGTGCACACTGAGGACTGGAACGCACAACCAGGTCTTCTAAAGAAAACCACTCCAGACACAACACGTGAATAATAGAAGGTGGCGTTCTCAACATGTCTCTCACCCCTTTTGGCGCTCCTCAGAGTTCTTGACAATAGGCGCGCGTACCTGCACCATCAAAGCCCCCGAGCTTTTCACTATCACTCACAGCATCCACTGCATACGCACAGAACATTGTCTCCTCTTGTATCGAGCTAAATGTACGCTACAATGAATAGCATGGACGAACAGACAACCCAGCCAATCAAAACTTCGCGAGTTCTTACTGAACATAGCTAGTATACCAAAAACTTTTCAAGTTTAGCTATAGCCCGCTACCTCTTGACCACCATATGTGGCACACACCCTAATGGTTCGATTGTATGTGTTGAAAAGCCGCATTAAGGATAGCGGAGGAGGTTCTGCCCTCTCACCACTCCACAGGCAGACAGAAATGCAAAAACAGTGTAAATGAGAAAACCAGTGTGCATCAAACGGCAAACAGAAATTCACAGGAAAGAAGGCACACATACTAGCCAACGCCAAAAGAGGGACCAAATCAACAAGACTTCTACAGTGGGATGGTTTGCTGTCATCGGGGCGCTCAATCGTGCAAGCCTCCTGTTACCAGAAAAAGAACACAATTAACATGTGTAGAGTCAAACTTGACATTAGTTCAATAGTGGCATCGCATATCTTGGAGAAATCTTTGCATTAAAATGTAGCCGATGCACGCAGCAAATTCAATTTCCAAGAATCGAATAAGGCTTAAAGAAGAACATAAAGACAGCATACTTAAAAGCACCTACGCATAACTCCGAGTGTAGAGAACACCTTATTAATAAGCGGCATCTTCTTAGGCAATACCCATAGATGGCGGTAGCTATTTTCAAGCATGATATGCACGGAGGTAAGTTGAATCACTCTTAAACGGGGAAATCCATTGTCCATGGAGACTAGTGCTGACAGCCAAACAGAGTCGCAGCTTCTTTAGCAGGCAAAGAAACAAGCACCTATTCCTCCATCGTCACTCCAGATCACTAAGGGCACCTGTCTACTGTGCCATAGGCGCTCTCAGGGTCTAGAACTGCCAGAGCATCAGCGGACTCCTCCTTCCCACGGGTCACAAGCATGCGCGGCGAAGTCCGCTAATTACTGAGAAGCTTGGAGTCGCTTTAGGTAGCCAAGATCGATAGTTCTGTAACAAGTCCAACTTTGGAGATATCGACAGAGTGATAGAGGGCATCATTTACTGAAAAGATAGCAAATCTCTTAGCCACCTGGCCGCAACACCTTTTGTCTGGTTACCCTCGGTGCAACTCGTAAAATATGTTGATCCACCAGGACCAAGTCTTCAGGGTCGGGGCACACAGCCGACCGTACCTTGTCACAGTTCCGTGCTAGTCGCTCTTGGTTTTGCGTGTACTAGCCAGCTGCTGATAGGGGCTGATGACCCTGGATCGCAATTCTCAGGCCTGAATAGGAAAAGGCTTCCTCAATGTAGACCAGGGATGCTGGGGAGCAAGAGGCAGAGAAGTACACTGTTGTATTAGAAACCCACTTGGCACAGGGAAAATACAAGCCAAAATACTGAACTTTTGTGTGAATGCAAAGTCGCAAATACTGCAGAGGAGTGTGAATGGTGAGTTCTGTCCGTCCATGTGCCTCAGGGTGGCTCGCAGTGGTCATATTGTGGTCAATGTGCAGGCAAATAACACGGGCACACCAGAATGCGCCAACGAACTTTAGATTCCTACCCGTAATGAAACTCGTGGGGAATCAAAAGCGCGTGTAGACCAGGGCTTAGAGCCATGTAGGGACATCTTGAGCCGTAAGACTGCTAGAGCAAGGGAGAAAATGGGCATTCTTGCTGACTCTTTTGACGGGGGCGTAGATGCTATCCTGATTGTTGAACTCCGGCATTCCAACAATAACGTTCGTAGTAAGATCAGTTCAAGTTTTTTCAGGAACTAGGAGATTTTGCATAAGCTTAGGTTTAAGAGGATAGCGAGCCTTCAGCTACTGATGTTCTAGGCTTGGCAGCACATACACCTCTGCCGCGGGACGGATCACCCGCCACCAGAAGAACAAAGAGATCTTTTCCACTGCAGCATGAATCTTGCCATGGCTTGAAAGAACGTACGGCAAAACGGGACTGCGGAGCAAAATCAATGTACATGCGAATCAGTCCTCTCTTTCTTGTGAATCACAGCAAGCTAACCCCAGCCTAGTAGTGCTTAACCCGTTTCCTTTCTGCATTTGGCGATTGTAGCGGATGCACGGGTGTCAAAGAAGTACGATGCACGCAATTTCGATAGAAGCCATGAATATCGCGTACAAGAGTAGCTGCGCTGCACAATAGTAAACCTAGGGAGCGACTTGAGACCGTGCCGGCGACCAGGTTGGTGATGGCTTTAGTGTGCCTAAGTGCACAGTCGTACTGCAGGAGGCACCCAAGTCAGCGAACAAATTCGGGAAATTTTAAGCGCAAAAGTTTCTTCGTAAGATGCCTTAAAACCTGAAGGTCAGTCTGAAAAAGAGCAAAACGCCCCCATGTACATAGTGCCGGCATTTTTTTTCACACCCCATCACACCGTATAGTATTTTCCCGCATTGGATATCTATGCGCGATTAAGGTAAATCAATGCAAGTCACGAGCAAGAATTTAGTGCTTTGGAGAACCCGTAACTCGTTGAGGGAGTAACGCCCTTACTGGTACGTCCATGGATCGATTGTAAAGAAGCAGTGACGCTCCTAATCAAGCAGTCAAGTAGCTCAGGCGCTGTGAGGCAGAAGATAAGCGTTTTTACTGCCCTATCTGCCTCCTCTGTTCTTGTCATCAACTGCGCATTCTTTGATAGGCCAGTCAAAGGAACAGCGATCGGAGGAAGACTACATTTCAAGCTTCTGTAATAAGATGCAATAGAGCTTTGCAATGTCATTGAGGTGAGGAATGGTTAAGCACCTACACTTGATTGCTTCTATATTGCCGCCTTGAGATCAATCGTTGCAGCCGAAGCACGGAGTTTCCAGAGCCCAGCTTGTTTAAGTACTGACGAAAAATTGTGCGCCTTTCACGCCGTAGGTGATTTACGTGCCGTTTAGCGTTTCGCCTGAAGACTGGACATAATCCATGTATAGACCCATCCACCATTCCTTGATGCACTCATTAGAATCCCTGTAAACTTGTATTTGCAGGTCGTAAAAGGCCTAAACACGTCCAACCAGCACACAGGTCTCCTCGACTGCGAGAATGGGAGTGTGGAACATCCTTTTGTGCGGTTCACCATGATGAATGGGGTTCTGTGAGAAAGCGTCTGCAAATTCAAACTTTGGTTTAATTATTTTTTATGTAATTCGCCAAGTAGCTCCCCAAACATGAGGCATCTGGAGCTTCTGCTCCACACACCATAACCTAATTCTGGGCGTCGAGAGTTACCCAATTGAAGTCGTGCAAGCATTCACCGCTACCCAATTTCTAAGCTGCTGGACCAGGAAGTGCTTAAAGGAAGGTACCTGCTGGCCTCCTCAACAACGCTCAATCTCCTACGGTGGGCGGAGTAGTGTCGTACCTCAACAAGATTTTGGGACCAACACGAAGTTGCACCCAAAATTGTAGGTCGACCCCTGCGCTTCTCTTTTTTTCAACGATTCATCCGCCCGGCGTTCAGTCTCTTATTCATGCGGTGAGGGCCTCGGTGTCGTGAAACATAGCTTGAGGCTGACTCGATGATCAATGCAATGCGGTATAGTGGACGACTAGTGGTTGTTCGTGCTGCTCACCGCATGTCCAAAGAACTGCACATCAATTAACTTCTTGTTGATATTTGCCTATCCCTGTCGTACCTCGCCCGAAAGCTCTATTGAATTCTTTCTATTGAAAGAACCAGTTGCATAGCCAGTAAGGTGGGTCGCTTGTTCAGAACCATCTCTTGCCGCGCTGCTGAGCCGCCCGCATAAAGACTGTGCCTTACCTTCTAAAGGTAAGACTACTCCGCCCAGCATGGGAGAATTAACATTGTTGAGGGGACCAGAAGATGCCTTCATTCTGTCACGTTCTGGAATAGCAGCCTTGAAAGTGGGCAGCTGTGGCTGCATGCGTGAATCCAATTGGGTATCTCACGACATGCCCAAAACTAGACTGTGCTCTATGGATCCAGTATCGAAATCCCGGACAATGCTAATAGGATCCAACTCCGACTGGAAGAGGCATTCGACCGCAATAGCCTTGCTAGTCCTTGTGTTCTGCCGCCCATCAGCAAATTTGAGTTTGAGAAAATTCGTCAGTGCATAAACAAGCAGGATGCATGTTTGAGCCGTCCTCTCAAATAGCAGATCCACCTGCTGAATATCTAATGCTATGGAGCACTAAGAAATCCTGGAAATTATTGTGAATTTGTATGAACGCTGAATTGACCTTCGGGTAAACATGAAGTAAACCACTTATAAAGCAGTTGTTCGTACAGCGTGGCGGCTTTTGTGAGCGTAAACTATCATATTTCGCAACTCTTTAATCTATTGTTAGAGTTCCCTGCTTCGCCTTTCTGAGTTCTCCCAAAACTTGTTGTTGTGCTTGTGTCGCCATGAACCGATGAGTCAGGGCTTGTAGGCAGAAGGCTTCATGTACCGTAATAAGGCCAGAACGAAGTGGTTCCTCCTCCATTACACATAACTTGACCAGCACTCATGTTTCTGCATTTGAGGGTTCAAAGCAAGGTACATATCCGGCCGCCTGATAAAACCTTTGACTGTCATCTATTTTTATGGTCGACGCAACACTGGCGTATGCATATACATTTTTCGGCCAGAAAATCATGCTCTTATACCGGAGCTACTGCGTACACCTCAACTTGCAGGCCGGCTGCTGCTGCACTAACCAGCGTAGTTCCACCGAGTATTTTCAACGCCAAAGAGTTATGCCCCCCATACTGTCTCCGCGGAAGTCCTCCGCCGCAATTGACTAGTGACTTGATTAGAATCAAACGAATGCTCCAGGAAAGCCTGACATCCCACTGCATGCACAAGCAATGAAATAGCGAGTAACAGCTGCATCGAACCATGCGGTGCTACGGAGTGTAACGCTCCATCTAGGGTCTCTATAGAGGGACACTACCTCCGGACTCGATATAAACCCAATAGAACCTTATTGAATGTTTTGCAGATAAAGTCGTTTCTTATCTTGCCCACACCCGTCAGGGTTTCCACAAGAGGGAAGGGGGACACCTAGCGTGCTCGTGGCTGCACCTTCTAATCATCCAAGCACTCTCAGCTCCTTGAATATAGCACTAAAACCACTAGCGCAAAACATTGGCCGTTATCGTACTATCATAGCTTACTTTGCAAAAATTGAGACAAGCCAACAGACAACACTGTTAGTCAATTCTTTACGAAGTCTTATATACATACAAATCTGGTGTAGTACAAAGCAAGCTAATGTAAAGTATTCCGCTGCATCTAAATACTGTGGTCGCGGTTGACTTACCACTCTTCCTCCATAGCGGTGTCTTAGTCTCAATAGCATTGAGGTTGCAGAGCAGCAGCATCCAAACTGACCTGTATACTAACCACATTCTAGCAGCGTGCTACGTGGCTTTGTACCTCCGTTTGGTCTAGTGGACATTCACATTGTGTGGCATCCTGACAAGATCTTTGGGTAACGCTTGCTTTTACACTACTTCATGCCCATTTTCCCCTAATTCATAGGGCACTGCAGCAAACAGTGGCTCCGATACCTTGGCGCCTGCCAAGGTTTGAAAATTGTTTTTTCTCATCACTATCGAACGTTTAGTCAAAAGCATGTTCAGCGTCTAATGAGGGTACCGTTATTCGTTACAGTACAGGCCACACATTATTTCAGCTCATGCTCTCAGGTTTGAGAGGCCTGTGCTGCTGAGAGAACCTCAGGGAGGAGAGCTGAATGTCTGCAATGGCAAGCCATGAGGCTGTAGCTAGTGGGATTTTCACAGGACCCCTGCATGTACCAGGGAGCCTTGAGGCTGGCTCGCCAATGCATTGCAGAGCATTGTTTTTGGAGAGGGGATCGAGAGAGTGTTTGAGCTTGGGTGCATGTTCACGGTAATCTTAGGGGGACCCTTTGGAACACAGAATCATTCTATCCAGCACCACGTTGGCTTTGTAGTGTAGGTCGCACGATATGGCCAACTCGTGAAATGCCTAAAACGCTCCGCAGTAGATCTGTAAAGGGCTATGCATATTATTCTGGTCTCAAGACCTCGGCTTCCCGACCTGACTCCAAGCATGCCTATATATATTTGCTGCAAGACTTGTCTAATGCCCATATGTTTGGCCCCGCAGATATCTCGAGGATAGTTTTCCTCAAAAAGCTGTCGCCTTATCCTAGTTTCGTCCGAAAACAATAAACTCAATGCATACAGGCAATGGAACTCGGGAAGGAGTGTTATCCGCGTACAGAAAACGGTCAAGACTCTCAGAGAGCGTCCCCGTATAATCATCCATTGCCCTCACGAGATTATTTTAATCATTTTTCTTGAGTTGCAAAGATGAGGCAACACTGCACGGGCAAAATAATACTGGTGAACCCGTCTCAACAAATACACTTCGGCCATTCATGGTCATGCTGATGAGCGCTACAAGATGCTTGGTAACGAAGATCACTTTCCAGGGCACTAAGACATTTACAGAAGTACTCATGTATATGTTTTACCGCCTCACGTCTGTAGGCATCAAAACGCACAACCACATTTTCGCAATGTAGATCTGCAACAGTAACCAGTCTTCGTGATTGCGTACAAGCAAGATGCATACCCATTTAAGCACATGCACATGTAGGACAATACAACACATACTACTAACAGAAGCCTGCCGCACTCACAAACCAACAAGTCAGAAAGTGTATGCCCTTCAGACATGTCCATGCTTGTCGCCAGCTATTGAGGACCCGTTTGTAGAAAGGGTGTCAATAGCTTTTCGTACCCAAAGAAGTTTTCAACGGGGGCCACAAAAGCGATCGAAACGAAGTCTAAAAGACCTGGCTACTCACAGTCTGCATCATAGCAATGTTTCTAATAACTCTGTTTGGTATCACTGTGCACCCCTTTTGTAAAAGAAACCGAACTGCCCCCCATCCTGCTTTTTCTGTCCCAATACAGAAGCGAACATCAAGGAGTTACTTTCCGTAAACACAACGAATCAGATCATTGTAAAAGAGGACATGATAAAAATACTAGTACAGAGATAATGGTTGGGAACTATTAAATAGCAGGCCCTAGGGCTGCGCACACGCAGCCACTGGCACCGGATTTCTAAGCACCTTCTATGTTCTCCCTGGAATACCAAAAGCAAACGTCGATGTTCTTCAGTTTACCTCCAGTTATATGTTTTTTACTATTCCCTATGCAATCCTTCAAGGAATTCTGCATGTGCTAAACATTCAGATTGTTCAGTGCTCATATTCTTCCACTGCAAGTCTACAGAATGGCAGCTAGGCTAGGGCTTCGAGACTATTTGTGGTCGTTGGGTCTTGGATTCCTATCGTTTGCAGCGGGTTCTATTCTTATGCACAAGATGTTGCGTCCAGACATGTCTGAGCCCGATCTACACGATCGTTTAACATCGCAGCGCGACGCTATAAGGGAAGTTGAACGCCATTCCCAGAGAAGCGATAATCAAAAAGGAGGCGTTGCCTCTTAATAGTTCTTCGCCAAAAGTGCGATTTATCTATGCGATTTGTTCTGGGCGATTATGCTACATTTAGCGCCCTCCCGGCGCATTTCACACCACTTTCATCCGCACAGTGGTGGGGACATATATTCCTCGACGCATGCCCCTCCGCGAAGCTTTCCCTGAAGAAGCGGTATTCTCAAGCTGACAAAGCAACAAGATCGATTGCTAAACTTACCACCTCGCACCCTGGAGAGGGTTGGGACACGTACACGCATTCTCCTTGAATGCTGACTGCTCCCGACGCGCACTTGACTTCTCTCGTGGCTAAGTGCGTCTTGGTGCACGAGCAGTGGTTATCACAGCATGTTTCACTGTATCCTTGAGGGCACTCCACAATCTTCTGCTCTCGAACGACCTCCATGCACTTCCCCTTATGTGGCTCTCCAGCAGCGCATCGTGCACTTGGCTCCGCTATTGCAACGCGGACGCAGTGGCAGCGGCCTTTCTTGTTCACAACGTCACATGTAAATCCTTCGGCACAGGTGTACAACAGGGGCGTCTTGACTTGCGCCATGCACTTTCCAGATTCGTCGAGCTCCCCCCTGCATATTGGAACAACAGGTATTATTTCTCTGTTGATGCAGGTGCATATGTTGCTAGTGCAGTGTAGAGTATAGGATTCTTCGCAAGAGCATGAAACGCGTCCAACTGGGCTGCAGCTGGGTTCTGGTGCTTCTTCACCCTTTTTTGTGGGCTTCACGGGTTGTCGCTTCGAGGGTGCCTGCTTTCGTGGCATTCCCTGATGCCGCTGGCATACGCCGTACACGTCTTCTTCAAAGCAGTAGCCTTGCACTTCTATTTGGCCCTCAGGGCATCCACAGAGTGGCTGCATCTCCGTTGTTTTGGCACATGCAGAGCAAACCGGACTGTACTTCTTCTTCGTGTGTGCATAAGCAATGCATTGGTATTCGTCAGGGCAAATGTATTCGTAGCCTTGCTGCATCGTTCTCAGGCAAGAGTCTCCTTCGGCAGAGAGTACATCCGGAGCCACACAAGCGGCAGCAGCCTGTCCTCTTTCCTGCTTGATGCATTGCAATCCGTGGTTGATAAGTGCATATCCAGCAGGGCATTCAGTGACGGCTTCGTGGGCAACAATGCTCGTACAGTAACCATCTTGGCTTTGCATCCCTTCTCTACACCTAGCTATCTTTTCAGCAGTATGGCCCTTTGCACAACATGGAGATTCTGCTCTGTCCTTCGCCTTGCAGATGTTGATGTATCCATTGGGACATTCCAGAACTGGAGCAGCGGGAGTGATACACAAGCCATCCACCATCTTTCCACTACGGCATATTCCCTGCAGTTAATCTAGATTGTTTCCGAATATTGCATAGAATATTTTCAATTATTTCTTACTTCGGCTTCCGTTTCGATACTTCGAACGCAGGTCCCGTCGCGGAAGGCGTAGCCGTCTTGGCATGTGCACTTTGTAGATGGCATTACTTTGAGCTGACGAAACAATGCCTCGGCGAACTCTTCTGGGGTGGGAACATTTTCTCCAACCTCCAGGGATCGGGACCCTGAGACGGAACAAAACAAGGTGGCAGCGATAATACAAGACTTCATTTTAAAACAGGAACTACTGCGATAAAAACAGACATAGCATTCCGACAACTTTTTGGTAAAATGAGGAAGTGACGGGCGTTCATCGATTGAACTGTGCGTTGTACTGGCAGGCAGCTGTAAAGACACCCCAGATCTGACATCGATAAATCGTGGTGGATGCTATCACAATTCCGTTGTATGAAAGTCACCGTAAGGAAATTCAGTTTTTTTGTTTCTGCCTGATTTAGGCATTGCAATTAATTTGAATACATTTTTGACATTGCGAGCGTCCGCCGTTCTCCTAGAGTTCATCCAGTTACAATACCTGCTCCCTGACAGAAATCCTGCGATCATACAATTAAACGTGTGGAATTCCATCGATAAAAACTGATATGAGCTTAATAGATTATAATTAAAAACCTACTTCGCTGTAGGCACCTAATGGCAAAGCGCATCACCACAGCATGGCGGGGAACGCATAAAGCATGACGTCAAGTGTCCTGAGAAATTACCCGCCAATCAGTAGAAGCTCTCAGTGTGCGATGCTAGCTTGCACTTTATATATAGACAGTTTTTGAGTGCTCGTCCAGATAGCACTTCGTTTTCTCCATCAGGTCACAGAGAGTCTCCAGAATAGGTCTTGACACGATTGCGAATCTGAAAGTGGCTTTCATATGCTATTCCTAGTGGAAGAATAACTGAAACCTATTTTTCGCTCATTTTGCCTCGACCACATACTGCGCGATCAGCGCTTACATGAAGCACCCCTTTTAACCCTGTAGGTGCTCTACACCACTCACACTTAGGCTGCGTGGTTTGTTGGCCAAAGAAAGCGGCTACAGGAAAAGATCATCAATTTCCAGCGACTACTAATATCGTGGTTTGCTTTCTTAAGTGGCTAAGTGCAAGGAATTTCATTGCGACTAGTCACATACACTTGCGAACATGGTAAAATGCACGCGTCAGTAGGCAAGAAGCGCACTTCCCAGATGAAGACGGTGGCCGAATGCCCATTCCTTTGAAACAGGATGTATAGAGCAAGGCCACCAGGTACTTTCGTGATTATGCCACCGAAGATTCATGATTATTTTAGTTAGTCAACTTGGCACCAACATCAAATTGATTAAGCGCGAAAGTCCAGGAATACAGGCAGAAGACCCTAGCATTGCCCGACTAGCTCTACGAAGGGCAGAGCCTTCCAAATACACATTTCCTTAATTGGCTTTCTGAACGTGCCAATTCCATCTTGCGCTCCATTGTGTGACGCCATAAAGTGTGGTAGAGCACGAACTGAAGCAGAATGTGCAGAATCATTCAAGGAGCATTACTCATTTTTTCATGCCTCATTATATTACTCTTGGTAGTTTTGACGAGCTGGGTGCGACGCACTGACCTGGGATTTGGTTGATAGTGACCCGCGAAACGGGGCTTGACTGAGCGATGTTTCCCACACTATTTAGAAAACGAAATGGATCAACGTCCACGTATCGGTGTAGGCAAAACCTTTTTGCATGATTATAATGCAATCTTTAAGGAAGATTGAGGCGTGTGAATGTAATATGTATGAGAGCCATGGGTGATGTCTAGAACATTGAACACAACACGTCGCCAGAATTCCGGTAGGCTATCAACAAAGTAAGAGTACCCGTACTAATCATTTGATATGAATTTGCTGGTACTTTTGAAACTGAAAATAATCCAATAGACGCAATAACATTTTTGCCTTCCACGCTCTGAAGCCTCACAGCCGCCATCGCCTGTACACGTGATCCATTAACGAGACCGCGCCACCACTCTTTTACCCCGCGACGCTTTCCATATCCATGCTGCAATGCCATCCGCATTCAATGTTTTATAGCGTGCTCAGTGCTCCACTATCTAGCACACTGCGTATTTCGGCTGGGCGTCACGTCAAGGTGCAGGTCTGCGGGTACTGCCTCATGAAGTCTACGTATATACACGTTCTCTGGCTTCCCTTCATTTTTTCATCATGTAATAATACTTTGGCATCATCAGCCTCAAGTAAATCCGCATGCCGAAATCACACACAAACACTGAGCATAATTAGTTAACCACGAATCCCAATAGCATCAAAATGTGAATTCGAGGTAAATGAAGCCTCGGGTTTAGGCATCCCAATGCAGCGTGCGAAGGGGTCTTTCTTAGCTTTAAAAACTGATGATCATGTAGTGAATCGGTTCACAATATTAGGTGCCCCGCTGCTCCAGTACCTATGAAATCGCGGCAGGCGTCGGCATCTCCATGAATGCCGCCTCGGACTCTCCTCATGTTCATCTCGGAGACCTGAGGACAGCTAGAAGGCTTATGCTGGAGGACATATTAACCGTCCAGGAATCTGGTACAAGAAAGATAGAGATACCGTCGTCAATTATGAGTAAACACCATGCTCTGCTTGCTTTCTGGGGAGCTGCGCGTATTAATTTACGGGCACCCTGCATTATGACCGCAGGCGTTTTCAATGAACTGCTGTGGGCTTGCGATGGAACCGCCTGGAACACGGTCGGTTGCTCGGCTCTCCGCGACGCCATATTCTGCCTGTCCAACTACTACATCATTGATCGATTAAACTTTGAACGACGCCTTTCTAAGCATAATTGGATAGAAAGAGACGGGGGCGACCTAGGACTTTTGGTAAGTGGACGCGTACTTCGCATTCAGATTACTCAAGCTAGTTCCACACTCAAATTATTGATGAAATCGTCTAGTCATGTTCATATGAGAGTCTAAGTAAGCCAGACTAGCAGCGAAAGTGCCACCTGCTTCAATTACATCGAATCATGCTGCGAACAAGCTGCTTACCCTTATGTTATTCAAAGTAAGTGCACATACCCAATTTGCCACATATACTGCTGATGGCCGACAGGACCTATCATCATGGTGCCTTCCTGAAGTTGCTATTTGGCCATCGCAGTCAAAAGCTAATTGCAAACAAGCAATGGCACATCTCAGCCTCGGGTTCCCTTCTGCCCAATGCAGGTAGGCACATCATTCGTACACAATCACAATTATTCAAAACCAGGGGAGTAGCTACTTCATGTATAGCTGCATCATTTATACAATCCCACAAACAGAAACACTCTGATTTCATGTTAGCAAACCTACAATGTGCAACACATGCAAGCACTTAGGTGAGTCGTGAAACAGGCCTGCAAGCATGCAATCTGTAGCTAAACGTCTCTTATTGAAACCAGTCAGAATCTGGCGTACTCGTGCGATTGTACAGGCGGTTCGGGCGCATGTTTAACCACTCAGTGTACTTCACTTCCAGACCTATGCTGGTCGCTGTTGGTGCCGTCGCCATATGGTCAAGCATGCCGTATTTGTAGAATTGTACATACATTCCCCCCTGCCACGGTGACCCTGCTGCTGGAACTGTTACCAATATCCATTCCACGAAACACATACATTCAGGATTAGGCCTCGCCACCTCAGCCAGACTAACAGACAACGTCAGATAGTTAGACGCAGCCGCTACCAAACAAAACATAATTCTTCTAGCGGGAACACGCTATCCTTCGAGATAGCGGCAGTAAACATTGCGTGCGTTTTGCATTACTAAAATGGTCAGAAAAAGTGATCCACTGGAAAATGTCGTACGCGCCCCTACGCCGGCGAAGCAACCAGAAAGTCCTTCAGCTTTGAAAAGGGACGCCAAACCCTGCACGGAAACAACGCAGCAGATTCTGCATACGATACGTCACCAGAAAAGCCTTGAAACGGCAAAGTACCGCAGTCCTCAAGCCAGAACAAGAAGCTCAGCAGGGCTTCTTACATGAAAAAAATGCTTGTAGTAAAATGGCGCATGATGCCCACGAGGTGCCTTAGCCTGAACCTGGAGCCTGCAAGGCGCTAGCAGCGAAAACAAATGCAAGGAAAAAGAGTTGCTAACACTGCAGAGTATCGCACGCAGCAACGGTCTTGGCTACTTAATATCTCTGAACCAGCCATGGTAAATGTCACTCCTCCTTTTCGGTAATCTAGAAATTGCGGTGAGTCCCTTCAGGCGTGTGGCAATTGACTAAAGCATCCTCTAAAAATCTCCATTCGGGTGAAACTTTACAATTTTGCGACCCCTCATGGACCGCTCCCTCCCCTGACTGTTTGAGGCTTATTGTCTTAACTATGGCATGAGCTAACAGACAAAGGAGCGGTCCTGCGTCATCGCGGAACTGGATCTACGGCCGGGGACAAAGTCATTAAAGCTATTTTAGTCACGTCGGAGGCAGATACCTGAGTTTCACTTTGTCCAGAGGGGCTGTTAAAAAGGCTGCTGCTCCAGCAGCTGCCCCAGCAACTGTCGCATCGAGGAGCGGGCGGCATTCAGCAGACGATCCAAGGGTTGGTGGGTCCGTAGCTGGTCCCATTATGTGTCCGGCGAGTTCACGGAATTGCTGAGCATGCAATATAAAATAAAACGCTAGTCTTCACCTCCGTTTACTACAAAAACCTTAAATATATTTCCTTTGGTTGAGTTTACCGCGCTAATTGCCTGAATACCGACATGATTTAGCGTGAAAAATAGAGCGCTGAATGGTCCAAAGGAAAGAAGAGTTGCCCCGTAGCCACGGTAGAGTCCACTAATCCCGTCAGCGCGTACAACCTCCCTTAGAGTTGGCTTTGTTATCGGAGAGCTTTCCGACCGCATTGCTGGGTACACCTGCATAACAATGAAATGCCCAAAGCCAGCCATGGTTTACGGGTAAGCACAAGAAGAGGGACACAGCTAAGAGACAAATAGGCAAGCCCACTAGCAGAAACAAGTGTATTCACTTAAGGTCAATCCTCAAAGAACAGGGATGAAGAGTCCCCTACAGGACAATCCATACTTGCAGTCGCTCCTTGCAGACATCCATGGGAAGATAAAGAAGACAGGAGATGGCCTCAGCGGAGAAACCACAGACGGAGTCCACAATGAAAGCTGACCCAAAGCTCAGTTCCGCCGACGTGGTGTTCTGATCGGCGGTCCCGAAAAAAAGCTTCATGACGTGCGACTTTAGGATTTCGTATGCACTAAAGTACAAGCAGGTTGCTGGAATCGCCAGTGCAGACGTGATTCTAGAAAGAGCAAGAAAAACGCGCAAAGCTAGCACAGCACTATAACACTGTCAGCAAAATTATTTTCACAGAAGCACTCAAAGCAAATTCGAAACAAAAGGGAATAGTCACCAGCTTACGCGAAGCCTCGGTAGAGCCCTCTCAAACCATCCACCTTCCAGATAGAAAGCAGCGTCCGCACTGTCCTGGATCTCTCAAATACCGTTTTGGGCGTATCTCTTGATTTAGTTTGGACCTGGATCACAGCCTTGACTGTATCGAGCGGGTGCGCAACAGCTCGCGAAAGCAAGCCTGCGACTGCGGCAGATGCCATTGTTGATGGAAGCCCCTGCTGGTCATTTGGAAACCATGGGTAGCGTAACACATTATCTGTGGCAGTATCCATGATGCAAGAACGCGGAGTGGAGTTTGCGATTTTCCGCTGTGGAATACTGAACTTTTACTGATGACACGGACACCCCGAAACGCTTGTGAGAGCAGAAAATAATATGCGCATGAACGTAACCAAAGGGATGCACTTGTCTATTTAAGTTGGAACCTAGTTTTTCTGCGTGGGGCTTGGTCTTGCACCCGACAGCTTTGTTTCTGAATCAGTCAATTCAGCACAAGATTCCCCACAGTATAATACACCCCTAAGAGCAAAACATATTCCTGTACTTGACAAGCCCAAAATCTGAAAATACTGTTTTCGACTTACAGTACAAAGCTGTACAAAAACCTGTGAGCGAAAACGTGGATCCCACTCGATGGTGGCTCATGGATCGGAGACACAAGCTTTGCAGCCCCAACGCGGGACAAAGCTAATGCGAACAGAAAAATGTATACATCGTTACACTAACACTGGAGCTACTAAAATGTGTACGAACCTTGAATCATTGCCTGACCAAAAGAGTTTCACCGACTTTCCAGAAGGGTTGGCCATGCCCCCCAGACGCCACCGCCATGAAGTATGTTATCCCTGTGAGATTATGACAAATGATAGGCTAGCTTATCCGGCCGGTGGTCTTCTGTAACTTGGAAAGGGGCTGCAAACGGAAGCAAGTTGTCCTCTCTCCGGCCTCGGAAATACAAAAACCGGCGGTCTGGAGCATGCAAAACGACGCGCTCTAGGAGCAGCAGTCGCTTTTGCGAATTACTACACGTTCCTTAATGTGTGCATGTAAAATTATGCAGTTTAAGCGTGCGTCGTTCAGTGTGAGCTGCGGCTGACAGCGCTGTTCAGTTTATGTTGCAAAGATGGCAAATCATATGTGCTTCTAGTTCTCTCAGTGTAACCAACGTTTTAGCAGGAGTTTCATGTTGTATTCAGCTAGTTCATTTTGCATCATTGGACACAAACTGTGGAATTCAAGAAATTGGGTAAAGGAGATGATGCACCTGGAATGTCTGTACGACGTGTACAAATGCTGAAAACACAATAGGGCGAATGTAGCCTTCTAATGTGCGGGCAAATCGCAGCAGCCGTAGGGATATAAATGCTATAATACACTCAACTGGATCAATCATCAGTTGTTCGGCATTTCTGAGGGCTTTTGTGAGGTTCCAGGGGCATGGAGTGCCGCATTGCATTATGGCTCTCCAAGCTGTTCGTTGGCAACATTCTGTTTCTACCAGTGTTGGCCAATGGGCGCTTGCTATCAAAGCTTTCAGCATTTCAAAGTAGGCCCGATATACAGATATTATCCATTGTTGGAAAGCAGATTCTTTCATGTTAAAAAGTCAATAACCCAGGACCTTCACATGAATATCAAGACAACACGCGCGTTATAAATGTGCCACTTTCAAGTGACGACAACCTCCAGTCAGTTGTCCTTTTCACATGAATATTGCATGGTTGTGCTTCAAAATTTCATCCAGATTCTTTGGGAGCATTGCAGTTGGGACACCGCCACAAGCGTTCACAGTGCTGTTTGATACTGGTGCGTACACTGTTGAATTCCTACGGAGCTTCGTTTACTATGGATTTCGTCCTAGGCAGTACCCACACATGGGTTCCTTCAACAAAATGCACCTCGCCCTCTTGTCTTCGGCATAGCAGGTTTAACCCTGAGAGATCATCAACATTCAAGGAAGGTCTAGCCGGTGGACGGCACAATGAAATTCGAGTGACATACGCATCTGGATACATTGAGTCCATTAGCGGCCGAGATTTCTTTCACTTTCAAAATGCAACGTAAGGGACCTGGTGCACTCTTTCCTGAAAACGAATGCTCATAAAATAAATGTATGAACAACAGGATATATGACTACGCTTTCGGATCCGTGGTCAATCAACCACAACACCCGTTTTCCGAACTGCGTAAGTGAATGTGAATAATTGCATTTTCTACATCACGATGCACTTATCGCAGCATTCGACGGAATTGTTGGGCTGGGTAATTTTCTTATTGATAAGCTGCTGGTCGCAGCGCCTGTAATGGAATTTGTAGGTTTCCCGTATGACCAAGCCGGGCAAACTAAGACGCTTGTAGAAAAAATGGTAGACTCGGGCAACATCGAAGATGCACTATTTTCAATCGCCCTCCCTGCGAATGAGTCTTCGGAAGGAGAAATAACCTTCGGCGGATACAATCCTAGGTTAGTGCACACGATTTTTTATGGCTCGACGATTTACACCACCATCTTTACCAGCTATTTGCGAGAAAGGTCACAAATATCGTGGTTTCCACTACTCTCACCAAATAGGTGGGAGATCGGCCTATTGGACATTCTTGTGGACGAATCCAGTCTGGGGTTCTGCACTCCAGAGACCCCATGCAGGGCAATAGTGGACACAGGCACTTCCGGAATAGGCGGCTCTGCCCTACTTATTGATCAAATACTAAATAGACTTGGCGCATTATCACCATGCAATGCAAAGAAAATGGAACTGATGAAGCAATTATCTTTTGTCTTTAAGCAGTCGCCAGGAGAAGGAACTAAGGAAATCATTATTGAGCCACATGACTACATTAGAAATGCTGGAGGATCATTTCCTCCTTCCGAATGCCCGCTTTCTTTCATGGTCCTCCAGTTTCCTCCAGGCCAAAGTCACACGGTTGTAAGTGCATATTGCAGCTTCTAGTATCATACAAAACTGCAGACAACGTAAATCACTACGGATTCAGGTTTTAGGAACTGCTTTTCTTAGGAAGTTTTTCGCAATATTTGACCAGCGGCAGAAACGCATTGGTAAGAAGATTGTTTTTTATGACAGTCTGGAGGTGTTTACTTTGTTTTTGAAGGTTTTGCAGCTAGTGCTGGTGGCTGCGGTAGAACGCAGCTGGATGGACCATTCCGGCATCGTTTCCGTAGAGGTCATATCCTGCACTCTTCTGCATGGGCATAGACTTGGTGATGGAAGGCAATGCGAAGCGAAAGAAGACTCATTCGACACAGGATCTGTGGTGTCTGTGGAAAGAACTCCAAGCATCCAGGGCCTCTACCTTCTGTCATATTTGCCATATCGTTCATAAGTCCTACAGCAATTTTATGCCGGTGGCCATACTCCTGAATCTTCTCATAGGAACAAGCCAACGGTTCTCCTGCAGCCGACAAAAGATCTCTTTTGACGCCCACTTGATGAGAGTGCCCTAGCGCAAAATATTTTTATTTTCATGCAACGATGCATACCACGAAAAAGAAAAATCAGACTCTTCGCCTTGTTCGGCTACTAAAGGGCTTCAAAAGAAGCAATGAGTCTGCATAAATTTCGTGCCTGTTTGTCTCATCTTTTATCACGTGATTAGATCAGCAGTTATGTGCAGGCATGCTTGCCTTTTGAAAGAAATGTTGCATAAAAGGTGATCTGCAAAAGCTGAGTGAAACGTGAGCTAGAGTGCTGATGCCCCCTATATAGCATATACCTTTAAGATGTTTCCGCCACACATCATGCACAGTGCGTCAAAACTGTAGATTCCAAAGCGTTATCGACGTCGCTAGTTAGAGGGGTCTCCGGTGTGCTGTCATCTAAAAGAGCGAGTTTCACGCACAGAGAAGAACGCAGAATATTATCGAAGCCTGATCACGCCGTTGAATTCCTTCGAATCAAAACTTTTTACGAGACAGAAAAGGGCAGGCCTGTTGGGCGCTGGAGCAGCTCCCCGCGTTAGTGTTGATGAGCCACTCTGCCGTAGCTTTGTGGTCTTCAGCTGGAATAATTGCCTTTTTAAAGCCAGCTGCATCGTCTAAAACTCTGCCCGGAGTAATAAGCGCATCTATTCCTGCTTGGAAAATGGTGCACTAGTCATTTATATGAGTATGCTGCTATGTAGTGCAGTAGACTTTAACATAGTGGTAGCATATTTACATCTATGTTGGTGGACGTTTTGTACGCAGCCAAAAAGCTCACGGCGGCTCATGCTTAAAATTCACCGCGCTTAACGACCAAACCCGCACGATCTTTGTGCTTGTACCCTAAATGCCATTCCCACTATTTGGTGCCAAAAAGTGCTTAAGCACAGAGAAGCAATCTTATGTATCTATTCAAGGTCCAACTACCCGGAAGTATGAAGTTCATAGAGCCTTTGATTCTTGCATACCAGATTATATGTAGACAACGAAGTCTCAGCTATTCGCACTAGCGAGCATTCAGTTATTTCCTTTATTGAGCCTCTAAGAACGCTACTACCATGATATAGGTTGCATTGAGTTCAGTTGTTCGGTTTTTGCATATCATGGCGGCTTGTATAAAGTAAGAGCGTTTTGCTGAATACGAGCATGTAAGCTAATTCGAGTTCTGTATTTTAAATACGGAATTGTCCAAGTTTCGAAAGACAGCTGCAACAATTCCATCAAGGATTGACCAACGGAGATTGAAGCCTCGTGTTAACTCCTTTAATATCTCTAGCAGCTGAATGCTACCTAATCTCAAATAATCGGCACTCCTTTGCTTCGCAGGGTCCTTCCTGCGAAAGAAATTTTAACCGTACTCTTCGTTTTCGATGAAAACATGGCGATCCAAGAGCCGTGAAGCAGCATGTAGCAAGATCACACTCAGACGCTGTGGCTGCGCTAGTGTACCGTAAAGTGGTACTTCAACTTTATGTGCCGCGATCTTGATAATCAAGGTATTAAGTGCTGGTTATACTCGCCCTCTGCAACTTTCTTTAAATACCAGCACTTCTATGCTTCTACTAAAAACTTCATGGTTTGGCACGGGGAATAGATCAGCGTGTTCACCTGAGCACCAGACAGCCGACTGAGGGTGCAGATGGAAGATGATATAAAAGTTACTAGCGGCAAAATTAGAAGCCCTGTCTGCTCAGCCGTAGACAAAGCCTAACAGAGTAGATGGTGCTCCAGAACTCTGAAGACTCCGTGCTTGAGACCGTACTCATGGTAGAAGATGGCCCTTACTCACCATTCGCCACTTGAAGGCTTGCTAAACAACTAGAAGCCAGCTTTAGTTAACGAGCTAAGGAGTTCAAAGATCCTGCCAGACTTAATCTCCCCACCATTGTGGAATGTGGTGTTTGTAAATGTATAAAATGAGATGTTCGAATTGTATCCAAGTGCAACGTGCACTAGGAAAGATTTATTAGAAACAAAATCAGTGCTTAACAGTAAAAGCATCGCCAATGCCAGCGGTAACCGAAGTTACTGCAGTATAGTTTGTAGAGCGAAGACTGCCATTGCTTTTTTGAGGATCTCAGCACTCTCCCATTGGCCATGATTGCACATTGGTCACGTATTGTTTTTCTTCACACGTACACACATGCCAATCGCAATGGACATTAATAAGAATCAAAGGACTAAGCAGTACGCACGATGGTAGATATGGCTTGCACAATCCGTGTGGCTCAAGAGAAGAATAACGCTTTGCTGGCACAGACACTATTATATTGCCTGATATGATGACCGACGTGAAGAAAACGATTCGACCAAGATAGCGAATAGAATTTGGTTGAAGAAGAGACAGCTAACGCGGAAAACGCTCCTTGTTTTGTTGAAAGCCTTATCGCCGAATTCCTGAAGGAGAACCTCATAAGCATTAAACTGAGCCCCACAGAGTATAAAGCACGTTCATGACGATGAAGCATTTTAAAACATCCACACTCATGCGCTATCTAAAAAGCTGCAATTAAAACGGGTATAACTCCAAGTTCGCCAGCAAATGCCCACGTTCCACAACACTTGACTTCAACCATATCCTTTTTGCCATACACCCCCGACTTTCAGCATTGATACACTCATCGAAAAAACAAACAGGCATGTATGAAGCAACACTGGGCCCTGTAAACCGAAACAACTGTTACGCAATAGCCAGTTCAACAGCCCATGTGCCATGTTGCTGGACAAATGAAGCAAGACCCTGAATGGTTCGTTCTCCCATGAACTTAATGGGAGTATCCGAACCGTTCTTGAAAAACCAAACTGTTGGAAAGCCTGTGACCTTGTACTTTTCATCCGGCAACTTGTTCGCCGTTCCATCCATCTTGGCAACCACGAGCGCCTGGCTAGCCGACTTTGACTCAGATGCCAGCTTTCCAAATTCTTCGTAAACAGGATCAAGCTTCTTGCAGTGTCCACACCATGGGGCATAAACCAGCAGCAACA